CTCTAGACCAGAAAGAGCAAGTTGATGCAGTTGCATTAGACTTCTCCAAAGCCTTTGACCGTGTACCCCATAACCGCCTCCTCCATAAGCTCCATCACTATGGGATCCATGACAACCTTATCAGATGGATCAGGGTGTTCATAACTGAAAGGTTACAACGTGTTGTTGTAGATGGAGAGTCATCTGAATGGGTTCCAGTCACCTCTTGGGTACCGCAGGGCACAGTTCTCGGCCCACTTCTGTTTATATCCTTCATCAATGACATAGTAGATGGGATCTCTTCCAAAATCCGACTCTTTGCTGATGATTGTCTTCTATACCGTCCGATCACTGATGTCACTGATAGCCAAGCCCTACAACAAGATCTCAACAGGCTGCATTCATGGGCTAACACATGACAGATGAAATTCAACATCGAGAAATGCTACCATATCACATTCTCCCTACGTCGGAAGCCATCACCGCGACATACACGCTAGGAGACACTCCTCTTGCGTTGGTAACAGATCTCCGGTATCTAGGCTGACTTTCTCATCCAACTTGTCCTGGCAAGGCCACATGAACAACATCACATCCCGAGCCAATCGGATGCTGGGACTAGTCAGCAGAAATCTCCGCAAAACCTCACAAAAGATCCGCCAACAAGCCTACTTCTCTCTTGTTAGACTTCATCTGGAATACTGTTGCTCGGTCTGGAACCCTCACACAAACAAGCATAATTATATCCAAAATCGAGGCAGTACAAAGGCGAGCAGCAAGATTCACCCTCCAGAGATATCGTCGTATGGCCATGTGTCTCGGCCATGATTCAACATCTGAAATGGGAGAGCCTGGAGAGGAGAAGAAATGCTGCAAGCCTCCACCTCATGTACAAGATCCAAAACGACACAGTAGCGATCAATGCACACCATTACACAGCACCCATGATTGCCAGCAACACACGACAGTATCACTCAGAGAAGTTGCTGGCTATCCCATCCCGCACCCATGCAGCTCTACCAGAACTCATTTTTCCCTCGGACAGTAACTGCGTGGAATGCACTTTCAAAGATCACCCTTGACGCTACTTCACTGGAGGGCTTCTAGGGAGCGCTTCCACCCAGCATCTAGACCAAGAACTAGATAGTTTATTCCTCAGCACTACATCCTGACTTATGGATCCTGCTGAGTATCGTCGTAGAAGTAGAAGTAGACGCAAAGTTGTTTAGATGGAGAATATAAGTGACGTATCCATCATAATTATGATGACGGCCCACGATTTAAAAAAACAAAAAACAACACAACACAGCAACAACAACAAACCATAGACACAATTTAGTTCGGGTATACAGCACAAGGAATTAAAGTAATACATTTCGTATTGACACTTTGTCTCGTCTGCTGGGGAGAAGGAGGAATCCGATTCCACTCCTTACATCCGCTCGACAGCAATCTGCACTCTCAAGATATTATCAACATGATCAATGCACTATAAGATAAGTATCTAAAAAAAAAAAATGTAATTGGTAGATGATTTTAGTAAAATAAGGTATGTTTTGGAAAATGAATATAATCGTTGCGGTTATGTGATGGTTATTCTTGCTCGTAATTCTCCCCATCGCACATTCAAAGGATGAACTTTTTTGGCCGTCTTCGCCCTCTTAAAAACAGATGGGGAGAAATCAGACTTCAGATGGCGCTAAAAAGAAATGTACGCCATCCGGTGTTGAGTATTTTATCTGAATGGCAACCTACAAAGCAGCACTTTGCCAGTAGTAAGGTGGGGAGGAGGGGGTGATCTACACACAGGGGCGGCCGAGCGACTTTCAAACTGGGGGGGGGGGCACCAACAAAAAAGGGCACTTTCTGGAAAAAGGGCACCTACAGTGGGAAATCTCAAAGCGAAAATATACAATTTTTAGACATTGGTATATACCCCTACATTGTGATTACATTATCAGGGATGATTTCAATATTTGTTTCTCTTCATACATCATACAAGATATCGCTTAAGCATCAAACTTTACAGTTGGGTGTGATGTCTGAATATGCATTTACGAGCGAGCGAAGCGAGCGAGAAAATTTTTAAAGATCTGTGAGGTCGCAGTGCGAAAAATTACATCTTATAAAGAGGAAAAAAGCCAATCGTGATGGGGATATAAGCACATTCTCATAACGGAAGACTGAAAAGACCTTTGATAAATAACATAATTATATAATCTTTAAATGCGAGCGAGCGCAGCGAGCGAACTTTGGGGGAAACTGCTCTTAGTCGCTTTAAATAAGGGGCACGTTTAATGATTACATGAAAAGGGGACAATTATCGAAAGGGATAAGACACTTATTAGAAAAGAAAAGAAAAGGAGCACGTGTATAAGTACAAGGGATAATTATAAGAGGTGAAAATGAGGCATTTTTTCACTTGAAAAGAGGCACTCACCAGTGATGAAAAGGAGGCGTTTACGAAAATGGGAAATAGGCATTTGTTGACGGAAAAGGGGCACCCATCAGATTTTAATAGGGTCATTTATAAGAGGTGAAAAGGGGATAGGTCCCTTATTAGAAAGGAAAAGGGGCACGTATCATTATTAAAAGGGGAATTATCAGAGTTGCAAAGGGGCACTGACCAGATATGAAAAGGGGCACTTATGAAAATGTAAAAGGGGCACTTATAATAAAGGAAAATGTGCATTTGTTGAATGAAAAGGGGGCACCGTTCAGATGTTTAAAAGGGGCAGTTATGAGAAGGGGAAGGGGAAGTTATGAGAAGGGGAAGGAGCTCTCTCTTTTTAATGGGGGCACTTATCATAAGGAAAAGGGGCACTTATTAGAAAGGGAAAGGGGAAGTTATGAGAAGGGGAAGGAGCTCTCTCTTTTTAATGGGGGCACTTATCATAAGGAAAAGGGGCACTTATTAGAAAATAAGAGGGGCACATGTTAAAATGAAAGGTGCGCTCATCCGAGTTTAAAAAAGGGGTAGTTATTAAAAGGAGAAGGGGCACTTCTTACAAAGGAAAAAAGGGGAAGTTGTCAAAGTAAAAAGAGCACCTCTCAGTTTTAAATAGGGCAATCATCAGAGGTGAAGGGGGCACTTATTAAAAGTGAAAAGGGGCACTTCTCGTACCTGAAAAGAGGCACTTACTAGAGATTAAAAAGGGCACTTATTCAAGATAATTTCAAGATTCATGAGAATGGAAAATGAACATTTATTGCAAAGGAAAATGGGAACATGTCGAAGGAAAAGGGGCACGTGTCAAAAATAAAAAGGGTACTTGTCAGAGGTGAAAAGGGGAAAGGGGCACTTTTACTAAGTAATAGGGGCACTTGTCAAAGTAAAAGGGGCACCTTTCCCATGTAAAAGGGGCACTTCTTACAAAATAAAAGGGGCACTTTTCCTATGTAAAAAGGGGCATTTTGGGGGTATCTGAAAAAAGTGGGGGGGGGGGCACTGTGCCGCCCCCTGTCCCCCCGGGAGGGCCGCCTCTGTCTAAACAGTACATGAGAAGAAGAAAAAAGGATATATCCCTACGACATTATAGGTGCGAAAAGCGAGAGGAGAGCGAACAAACCAATGTTGTTTTTATTTGTTTTCTGTTTTCTGTTTTATACCAACGTTCGGGTAACGGCCACTTCTTCTTCGGGCAGCGAGTTGCCCGAATAATTCGGATAGCGATCGAGTTATTCATATTTTCTTTTAGTGCATTCGGATGTTGATATAATATTTCTAAATCTATCGCAGGGTGAAAAGAGAAGATGTGGTTTTGCCCTTTGGGACCGACCCAACAATCTTGAAATCTACGGTCGGCTTTTAATTCCATTTTTTTTTAAATGACCGTTTTATAGAACAAAATGTATTTAAGCATGAACTGCAAAATATCAGCCAAAAGAGGAAGTTAAAAAAAAATAGATTTCCGAGATCGACCGACCCATGTTTTGGCACTTAAAGGGCAATCCATCTTTTTGGTTAGGCCTTATGAGAGAGAAAAATGTAGACAGGGAGAAAAGATAGAGAGAAAAGAGAGAGAGAGAGAGAGAGAGAGAGAGAAGAGAGAGAAGGGGGGGCGCGAGAGGGAGAGAGGGAGAGGGAGAGAGAGAGAGAGAGGGAGAGAGACACACACACACACACAGACAGAGATAGACAGAGAGATACAGAGAAAGAGAGAAAGCAGAACAAAAGAGAGAGAGAGAGAGAGAGAGAGAGAGAGAGAGAAAGAGAGAGAGTTGGGTACTCTATTATGAAAGGATTCCCTCACTGTATTCCAGGACTACCAGAAATATAATTTTATCGTTTATTCTGTTTGGAGCTAGATTGGCGCCAATTAATCATACTGCTTTAACATAGAAATAAAGCCACTCTTCATGCAGTGTTGGGACTTGGGAACCCCAAATTCGTCAACAATTAGATGGAAAATTACACTTTAATTGTATCATAATATGAAAAAGGATGTCATTTAAGACCCAATTCTGCAAAGATCCTCCCCCCCCCCAAACAAACAAAAAAATATATATTTGTTTGAAGACACTTGATAAAATAATACAAAGTCATAATTTGGGTTTTTCTGTTGATCGCAGAAAACTTAAATTGTGCGTTCTTTCATCAATATTCGACTCTTTTTTTTGGGGGGGGGGGGGAATCTTTTCTTTTTAATTTGGTTTGCTTTTAAAAATGGTTATTCATAAACTTCTACCTGTTTAAAATTGGAATGGATGGAGCCAAAGAGCTGGGAATGGTAGCAGAGTGTTAGTCTCTTACCATTCTGACTTTTAACACACGCGAGGAAAAAAAAGTAGTTTTAGCAAACGATTCTGTCAAATTTGAGTTTTGTTTCAATTAAACTATAAATATGAGAGTTTTGAGTGTGTTTAAATTTGTTTTTTTGGTAAATGGGCCATGTTGATATAGAATCTAATTAGACTGATGAATTGTATAGACTTGATAGAGGCTAAAGTCACAGGTTGTGGCGATTACCTTTCATAGAAACAACTCAGCGCGCGCATCTCACCTCTTCATCACGCATATCGCATAGACACGTATGACATTCAAAACGTGCATAGCGCATGCATATATCATGCGTGCGAACTGAAAGTACAGAACGTTGAAACGCGTACAAAATTGAATTGCGACATGTCACCTGGACAGCGGACTAGGAATTTCTACAAATATTAGGGGTAAACATCCATTTTACACCTTATAGATTTAGAGTCACTCTGTTTCGTATCATTGGTGCGCACTGTACTTGAATTCAACTCGTGATAAAAGGAAGAAGAGGGAGAAAATGAGCTCGAGCGTGGATGCCTACGGACCCAGCTCGCAGAGCTTGCTCACGTTTTTGGATGCGGAAGAACATGATCTGCTGGGCGCTGATACGCAGGGCACAGACTTTGACTACAATGTAGGGGATTTTACATTGCCTTCACAGACACAAGCTTCTCAAAGCCAGGCATCTCAGCTGGATTTGGCTTCACAGTCTCAGAGTCAGGTGATTACACAAAACCTTCAACATACATATTTTGTCCACATAATTATAACAAAATTGTAAGTGAATGTGAATGTGTGAAAAAGTGAAAAAGAAGTTGTGTGTCGAAAATATAGCTTGAGCCTTGGCCTTGACAACGCAACGATTGCTCCAGTTCCATCATTTATTTTGTCCAATGCCAGAGACGCCAAGTTCAAAGATCGGCAGTGCGTGACATTTTTATGATTCGGCGCGTGAGTGCGCCTGCGAGGGTATAACACACAAGGTATAGCGGTTTTTAAAAAAACTAGCGCGCGCGTCGTGCGTAAGAGCGAGCATTTTCAGACCCTCGAAATGCGTGATGTCTCGCCTAATGCGTGATACTTGGTAGCTCTGTAATGCATGTAATGTGTGTGGCACCTGGCAGCAATGCCGTGTTCAGGGAAAAAATTAATATTCATTTTTCGGGGCTACTTTTCAAGCTTGCCTGCATGAAATCAACACTCTAAAATTTGTTTTGCATTGAACTCTATGCAAATTTACAAGGGCTCTTTTCTGATTTTCGGGGGCTCTTTTTAGCATTTCGGGGCTAATTCGCCCCGAGCCCCCGTGTATTTTTTTCACTGGCCGTGTTAATCAGAATTATGATGGGTTATCCAAACTTCTTACAAGTCTTGTTTTTTATCAATGTTTATTGTTATTTAACTCGTCGTTGATCTAGTTTACATGTTACCAGGCATGGTTGCTTACATTAAATTAGACAGAAATAACCGTCTGATTTGGGTCATTTCTTTAATAAAACTGAAATTTGTTGACATTCCCCAATACAGACGGTAACCCAGAGATCTCGTACTGTGGGGGTAGCTAGAGCCAGCGATGAACCTCTTTTCGTTAGCGACATTTTCTCCCCAATTTTCTTTATTTAGATCTAATTTTCTGATTTCTAAATCAGATGTAAATTAGGTTGGTATGTCATTTGTCCTAATTACAGTTATCAAAATTTGATAACTTAATATTAAATGCATATTTTACGGACTTACTTATATGAATTATCCAATTTGTATCTCAGAACTGAGTAGTAGTACGTTCATGCACTCGAACATACCAAAACATAGCCAATGGCCAATCAGAGCACTCGTTTCGTGGGAGTTCGTTGGTCAAGCTGGGCTGACTCGTACGAAGCTACGGTAGCTATTGGACGTTCGAAAAGAAAAAATGAATATTCATCAACTGTAAAACCAAGACAGATAATGTTGACGACGAGACTTTCTCGGATTAATCATTAATTTAGGATCTAAATGAGCAAGCTATCGTAAGTCAAATAAGCTATATATATGTTATTTTCAATTTTTATTATAATTATTGTAATATTGCAGCAGTTATGAGGATGTAAAGAGTGAAAATCTTGTTGCATATCTCATTCATCGCGGTCCGGTCGAACCGAACCATTTGTTCCCTACAGTCCCCTACAGTCCCGATAGGCCATGCTTCAGTCTCTCTAATCGGAGGTCTAGTAGAGCCAGACGTAGTCTCAGTGGAACAACCGACGATTAGAGAGACTGAAGTTTTCGGTCTAACATTAAATATAAGTCTTAGTCTGTGGACATTGCATTGAAACGCGTGCTAATTTTCAACAAACTTGTCAACATGCATGGGATGTCCAAAAAGGTAAATACTAAAGTGACAGTTTTTAGAAACTGGACGTGGTGTTTGATCCAAGATTACTCATCACTAGATCTAGATCCATTGATACCAAACAGAAAGCAAAATTGGGCAAGAGATTGATGCTATTAAAAACTTAATTACCAAATTAAAGATATCTGGCAATATTGCAATAGAATGTGAGATAACGGCACACTACATTTTGTTTCTAGAAATTCTACGTCTGACAGAAAAGTCATGAAAGTGAGATCAAAATTAACACATGTGAGTGTACAGTGTACACATGATTTCAAGTCAATTGTTAATGTTTTATTACCTTATTTTGATTCTAGGTGGACGCTAGCCAAACCAATGGGATAGATGAAGCTGTAGCTGCTGTAGAACAGCAAGTCAAGGAATTGACTTTTGAGGAAGATGAAGAAGATGCAACGGTGCTCTCCAAGGATTTGCCTAACCATGCCTGCAAGTAAGTAGCCACAGTCCTTATTACCCCAGTCAACCTGGGTTTACCTGCCCAATTGACCCCAAACTGACTAAACCTTAAAGGTAATACAAAGTTTTGGTATGGGGTCATAAATTTGGTTCAAATGAACATATTGGAAGCATATACGATCCTACAGTATTCAGTGATCGTTGTCGCGGTCGAAATCGACTCTAAAGTTATAAAATTGTAAATAATAAACACTTTATGCTGAATAGCTCCCTCTCAAGGTCAAGATATTAATTAAGCTATAAAACAATGTTTATTGACTAAAATTGACTGATTAGCTTTTCTCGTTCGGAAATTATATACCACAACTACATACTCTGAGATTTTCATGGTCGCAGCTACTATTGTACGGCCGTATGAGCTATTTGAAATTTATCGAAATTTATCGGGAGCACCGGTAAATCTTTATATTCAATTTTTCTCGAAAGCAGAAGTGTTTTAGGGGCTAAAATTTCTGGTGTTTTTAATACATCCACAGGGGCATCCAAATATATTAAAATTGTAAAGAATCACTATCCACCCATTTTTCAAAATTTCCCAAAACTTTGTAATACCTTTAACAAAATCTTGGCTCGGTACATGTATTTGGAGTATTGTACTATTATGTGTGGTTTGTTGTTGGTCTATTTTTGGTCTGTTTTTTGGTCTGATAGATTCTTGATGTGTCTGAGATATAATAACGTGAATGGTGATTATCAATTATCTGATTCACTTGTGTTCAGATTTGTGTCAAGTAAAATTGAATGGTCATGACATTAAAAGAAGAAGAACACCTGACCTGCAAACTTGTTTTATTAAAGTGTTTCAAATGTAGTTTTTGTTCATTCAGGCAACCAACTGGAAGAAAGAAAGGACCTCATGAGTTTTGAAGTTTGTTTTCTTTATGTAAGCCATGGATGCCCACTGACTCCTATGCACTCACAGGAAATGTTGAATCTGATATTGAATTGTTATTGTGATTTGTTCTTCCATCAGGTATTGTGGCATTCATGACCCAGCTGCAGTTGTTCTTTGCAATGGTACCAAGAAGTGGTTCTGCAATGGACGAGGAAACACCTCTGGCAGGTAGGTCAACAGAAACTCTTAGATAGTAGCTCCTCAGATTATTGTTTATTATTTACACTCTGTACATACGTACAATGTAAACAAACATGTAGTGTAGTAAAGTAATCTTAAATAAATTGATATTGATTCATGCTCATAGATTGATTGAAGACTGTGTGTAACATTTTCGGAGTGCTGTAGTTCAGAATTCAAACCAATCTTAAGCTTGCCAGACTGAAGGCCTTGGGCCAAGCCTGACACAAATGTGACTAAAATACCAATGATGCAACTTGACACCGGACAGCGGACGACCAGACTTCGATTTTGGGCGGCCATGTTTGGTGCCAAGCCCTGCTTAATGAATACTTTTCCAGAATATTTGTCTTTATGCCTATTATGCCTGTCAGGAATATTGTGATACATGTATTTGTCACAATGTAACAACAGAAAAGTCATACAGGAAATGAACCAACATTTCTTGCTGTCAATATGTTGGTCATAGAGTTTCATATGAGTTACATGGATTCGTCACTTCTTTGTTCCATTTTCTCTTATCCAGCCACATCATTAACCACCTTGTGAGAGCCAAATGCAAGGAGGTGACCCTTCACAAGGACAGCCCCCTGGGAGAGACTGTCCTGGAATGCTACAACTGCGGATGTCGCAACGTCTTCTTGCTAGGCTTCATCCCAGCCAAGGCTGACTCTGTGGTCGTTCTGCTTTGTCGCCAGCCTTGCGCCACACAGAGCAACCTGAAGGACATGAACTGGTAGGAATGGCAAACAAATTCTTAGCTTCCCTACATTATATCAGGTGTTTTTCCACCATGTACTATACATGTAATTTGTTAGAAGAGGAAATCTGAAAACCTACCTACATTTAAAAGGGATGTGACAGCCACTTTTCTTGTCATTGAGTATCAACCATCAGTCATTTGCAAAAGGAATCATGAAATCGATGGAAACAAATGCAAATAATAGAGAATGATCTATTATCAGTAAGAAGGATGTTTGATGATAGGACAGCGTATTACATGTATGTACAATAAAGAAAACTAGCAGGACCCGTGGAAAATCCACGGGATTCTAGGGGGAGGGCAGGGGAGGGGGGGGGGGGGGGGGGTAAATAGAAAGAGGCCTAGACCCTATGTGCTATCGAAAATAAAATTTGATTATTTTTATATAAGGTCTAGGCCTAGAATCTAGACGATTTTTATAACGCTGTTTGACCATTAATGGCGCACCGTAATACCCGTTTTAATGCATTGATTTGATGAAGGAACTGTATCATAGTAAAAGTATTCTATCCAGCTATAGACAATGCCAATGGCTATGTTTTTAAACGACCGTCTGATTTTCTTGTGAAAAATTTACTTTGAAAAATGATTATCGAAATTCAGCATACAACTATACATGGACAGAATAATCACAATCTAAGCTCAGGTTTCATACCTCTATAGTCACGAAACTATATTGAAATAGGGGCAATAAGAGCAATTTCAAAATATTGTCGAGTCTACTTTATAATAGCTCAGCTCAGCTCACCTCACCTCACACACAGTCACAGTTCCGACAGTGCTCGGCAGCAGTGGCGCACTGCACTGCCCGTGCCTCACTACAGCTACTTTGCAACTGCAACTGAACCGTCAGTTACGATGAATTTTTTGTGAAAACTTTACTTTGAAGAATGATTTTCAAAATTCAGTAAACATAAACAGGATAATACCAAAGTAACCCTGCTTGCATACCTCTAATTCACGTTAACTATATACAAATCACAAATCACGGCAATCATAGAATGAAAGTCGCAAACCGACTGTGCATGTGACATGAGCGTAAAATCATCGCATACACGTACAGGCATAGGCCGTCTGGCGTACAAAGCATACCCTATTGCAAGATCCATAACACGGGTAAGCCCAGCCCGTCAGAGCGTAGATTTACTACATCTCATCACCCGGGTGAGTCATCGGTTAATGTGTATTTCTCTTACATGCTACAAAGCAAATCCTATAGCAAGAGGTCTTACTCGAAATATGCCGCAGCCTTTACAATGAGACTTGCTACATCCGTTGACGCGAGTGGATTCTCGTCCATCGTGTGTCTCTTCGTCTCTCTTTGATAATTAGACAGAGGGCGGATGCACGCCTTGTCGACTCGCTCTCGCGGGTTCGTCACCTCCTCGCGATCCACGACGCCCGCCGTGCTCTCGTCCGCCCGTCCTCCCCGGCACCCTGAAACCGCGTTTAACGGCATGGACGTCGATCGCGGGGTCGAGGTGGCACGCGGGTTACGGGAGACAGGCCTCGTGGAATTGTGCCGCCGTCCCCGCGCCACGGCGGAGGCAAGCGCGGTCGGGGAAAGACGTTTTTGAGGAACCGTTTTGGCCCGTGTTGGACCCCCCGCGGCGATTTTGCGTATTAATAATATAGATTGCAAATGAATATCTAGAAGGTTCTGTCAAGAACAGTATGATTAACTTGGTATTAAAAGTGATGAAGCATGTATAATTCATGCTTGCAGAAGTTGGGGAGGATGTCCTAAAATAAAATACTATTCAAGAAATAGTGTTATAATTGCTAGACTCTGCTTAAACAATCCTATAAAATTTGACATTATTTTATTTATTTATTTATTTATTTTATTTTATTTCAACAGGGTAGCCCCATCAGTAGTTAAAATACTGTTATTCTTGGGGGCCCTGCATAACATAAAATACATATATAGATATAGACATACATATACATGATAACATCATCACATGGTGAGTAGTAAACATACCAGAAAGAATTACAGATTAAATCTCAAATGTAAATTTAAACTCAGCAAGTAAACAAACAAAAATCCACACAAAAAAATCAAGTCAAATAAAATCAAGTCATCAAGTAAATCATACATAAACAAATTTTGAAGAAGAAAAAATATTATATTGAGGTGACAGTGTGTCTAAACATAATTATTTGTAATTTGTAGGATATTTATGAGAAATACAGTGATCTGCAATTGGTAATTTACTAAATATTGAAGTTTGTGATAGAGGCTACTTATTTGCGAGTACTTGGGTTATATTTACATTTTTCTAAAATAGCTGGTGCAAAATGACTGCTTAGTTTGTGCATTTCGTAACTCACTTGGGAGGTTGTTCCATGTCATTGCACCCTCAAAGGAAAAGGCCCTTCTACCATTTTCAGTTTTAACTTTGGGGATGACTAATCCACGAATATCAGCGATTCTAGTGCTATAACGATGTGTTGCTGCAGACTGAGTAAACATATCTTGAAGATATGAGGGGGAAATACCGTTTACAAACTCGAACATAAGTTTACATTTCTGGAATTGCCAACGTTTTTCCATGTTCATCCACTTGAGTTTGGAGAACATTTCTGAACTTGGTGTAAGTACATGTACATTCATTTGGAGAACAATCCTAGCCATCTGTTTATGCAATTTAATCAGTGTATCCCGAAGACCTTGATTACAATTTGACCATGAAGTGCAGCAATAATCAAAATATGGTAATACCAGTGCATTTGCTAATAACTTGGCACTGTCTATCGTTAGATATTTTCTGACACGTCTCAACAGTGCCAACCTTGAAGCAATTTTGCTGGAAGTATGCTTCATGTGTTCATTCCAGTTAAGGTGCTGGTCCAACCACACCCCAAGATATTTCACATGTTCTACCTGTCTAATTTGCAGACCATCTTTCTTTATGTCGATTGGTGCCTCGATATGTCGTAGTTTTTGGGGTGTCCCTACAAGTAAGAAGTTGGTCTTGTCCATATTAAGGGATAGTTTATTATGGCAAAGCCATGATTTAACCCTGTGTAGATCACTATTCATTGTACTCTCTATCTCCTTTTGGTTTAAGGCACTGAACATAATTGCCGTATCATCGGCATACAACATCACCTTACTATGTTCAACGCTATTGGGCAGATCATTCATAAAGAGGGTGAACAGCAGGGGTCCGAGTATAGAACCTTGAGGTACTCCTGACTGGAGAACCTGTAAATCAGATCTTGCCCTTTGCACCAATGTGCACTGATAACGACCTCTTAAGTACGATTCAAACCACGATAGTGTATTACCACGTACACCATATGTGTATAACTTCTCGAGCAACTTGCTATGGTCAACGGAATCAAAGGCCTTTCGTATATCTAAAAATACAATCCCTGTTAATTTACCACATCAATATTCCTGTGCAGGTTATCGCTAACATATGTCAATAAGGTATTCATTGAGTAACCTTTTCAGAAACCCGACTGTTGAGCATTAAGCAAGTCAAACTCTAACAAATGATCATGAAGCTGGGAGTGCACAGCCTTTTCCAGTACCTTCATGATTGTTGGTATGATCGATATTGGGCGATAGTTGTTCTGCTTCCAAAATCATACCAGATGGATATAGTAAAATCATGATAAAATTGAATTCATCTCGGGGGGGGGGGGGGGGGGGGGGGGGTTCCCACGGTCACAGAAAGAGAAAAAACCTGGACAGTCATAGAAAATGATTTTTTTTTTTAAAACCACCCCAAAGTGCCCGGTATCGCGCTTCGCTTGGATGTGGCAACCCCTACCAAAGTGGAACTTATCTGGTCATGGAAAAATGCAAAAAAATTGGGCCATGGAAAGTCATGGAATTTGGTTCTCAAATTTCTGTGGAAATCCTTGATCTGTATACAAATATATACACCCAGACAGACAAGTTTCATGATACTGTCTACTAATGTACACACAGTGCATTGCATATGACTTGATTGCTGATTTATGTTATGTTCCTTTATCTCCTCAGGGATCCGAGCCAGTGGCAGCCTCTGATCCAGGACCGCTGCTTCCTCAAGTGGCTCGTAAAGATCCCTACCGAGCAGGAGCAGCTGAGAGCCCGTCAGATCTCCGCCTCTCAGCTCAACCGACTGGAGGAGCTCTGGAAGGAGAACCCAGAGGCCACTCTGGAGGACCTGGAGAAACCAGGAGTAGACGAGGAGCCGGCCTCTGTCATGCTCAGGTGACCACACGTGTGTGTGTATGTGTGTGTGTAATTGGGTTTTTATAGACGTGTATCAATCAGATATGATTATTTACGTCTTGGGACCGACCTTTAACGTCACCATCCGAAAGACGTGACTCAGTTTTGAACCTGCGTCCTCGGCTAAATCAGTTTGTAACTCTCATTTTTGGCTGGATTACAGGTGCACGTCACAACGCCCGACTCATACTGACTTTAGTACTGTGGAGAAACAGACGTCCTGTGTGCCTTGGTGCTAGGCCATGATATTTACTCCAGACCAGGGCACTGTTGCACAAAACTTACCATTGATGATAACATTGCCATCAATGGTAACTACCATGGAAACCTTGATTTTGATTGGCTGTTGAGCCCTGTTACCATGGTAGTTGCCATTGATGGCAAAGTTACCATCAAGGGTAAGTTTTGTGCAACAGGCCCAGAAGAATTTCAAACTTCAAATAGGATCCCTCAGCACACAGATCCTAAAAATTTGAAACCAGACCTCCCATTGAAAAGAGTTTTTGGGAAGTCCTGGGTCATGTTGTATAGTGTATCAGTTCCAGGAAGTACTTCAGAAATGACTCTCCAGCCTATTTGCCTTTTAGGCATATAGAAAATAATGATTGTAATGATTGTATTCTTGTATTGGTATCCCAAATGCAGTTACAAAAGGAAGAACGTTGTGGATAGCATGTGAGGAAAGCTTTTCAGAACTCATGACCAATTGCAAAATTTGAGGACCATACATACATGATACATTAGTATCATGCATAGTTGTCTGTCATTAATCCATTTGACATGATAATATGACCAAAAAAAGCTAAGGACAATCCTTCAGGCAAGGCTTAGAAAAAAAATTGTATACATTTAGTGCATGGAATATCATTGTGATTTATATTCCATACCTCAAAACAGTATGAAACAATGAATAATATCAACAGGAAAAAAAAAAAAAAAAAAAATACAGGGGGATACTTTTAAAGCTTGCCTGCCTGAAAATAACATTCTAAAATTTGTTTTGCATTGAACTCTATTCAAATTTACAGGGGCTCTTTCCTGATTTCCGGGGGCTATTGTAAACGAAGAAAGGGTAGTATCCATAAATGAAGTGAACCTTGGAAGTTTCAAACAAATTGTTCTAACTTTGTTTTTGTTTAGGTATGAGGATGCATACATGTATCAGAACATCTTTGGACCTCTAGTCAAAATGGAAGCTGACTATGACAGGAAGCTGAAGGAGACCCAGACCCAGGAAGGGGTCACTGTCCGTTGGGATATTGGTCTCAATCGCAAGACCAGGGCCACCTTTAACTTCCCCAAGAAAGAAGGTTAGTAGTGCTCAAGGAGATTTTTAGGTTCGCTGTATTATTTTCCAAAGGTTGACTTTCCCCCGTCTCTCTTTCACACCCCCTTCTAATTCCTCAATCCCACCTCATGGAAACGAGCTAAAGATATTCTTCATGCTAGCTATGGTTTTGTGCTTAAGGCTGAACAGTGCATAGAGAATGGATGAATATCCTGACAGTTTTGGACATGTGACCTTAAAGATAAACTTGAGTTCTGGTAAAAAAAGAAAATGAATTCTCACAGAATCTAACAAAACTTACACTGAATGTTCAAGATTACAAATAAATGTCATGTGCCAAACAATTTCGGAAGAAAATGTATACTGGCTGAGTAATGAGCATAGAAAAATAAGGAAATCGGGGGGGGGGGGGGGGGGTAGTACTAGCCCCGACACCATGTGTGTTGTCCCATATACATCTGTCTGTGTAAGTGATTGTTACTTTACCAAGACTCTGCCAAATTTATGATGATTTTGATGACTCCAGAACCGTGCATTACACATCATTACTTGCATGCTATATGATCAACTTTTCTGATCCATTCCACCCCTTTTCTTTCACAATGCAATCGCATTACCAGAACTCAAGTTTATCTTTAACATTTTTTAAAATTATTTTTAAAAGCAGTCCGTTAGGAATATGGTGTAAGACTATTTTACATGCTCTGTTGTTCGGTAGAACACATTTATGTATATGAACTGACAAATTCAGAATTTCACCAATTGATGTGATAATTCACCCAAGGCTGCAGGCTGAGGTCATGGGATACTGCATGATGGAAATCCTTGGTTTGGAATTGAACGCAACTATGTGATATAGAACAAGGACATACAATAATTGTACTTTTCATTTCATTTCATTTAATTTGATTCAGTTATTTATTTTGACGGCTCAAAGTTGCCCAATGATTCCTGTTTGAAAATGCATTTAGGTTGACATTCTGCGTATTATTTTTGATTTATCACACAGATTTGAAGCTGATGCACGGTGATGAGCTGAGGGTCCGCTACACCGATCCACGAGAGCCTTGGTCTGGTTTAGCCCATGTTGTTAAGACTCCAGACAGTATCCTTGAATGATGTTTTATTATGCCTCCATTACGAAGTAGCCGGAGGCATTATGTTTTCGGGTTGTCCGTCCGTCCGTACGTCCCTTCCGTACTTCCCGTTTTCGTGATCGCGTTATCTCAAGAACCGACTGATGGATTCCTACCACACTTTAGTCATGTATGTAACTTGCAGAGCCAATGAACTAATTAGATTTTGGGGTCACGGGGCCAAAGGTCACAGGGCTCATTATGTATGCAAAATAGCTTGTGATTGCGTTATCTCAAGAACCGATTGATGGATTCCTGCCCTACTTAGTTCATGTATGTATCTTGCAGAGCCAATGAGTTGATTAGATTTTGGGGTTACGAGGCCAAAGGTCACAGTGCTTATTATGTATGCAAAAATAGCATGTGATCGCGTTATCACAAGAACCGATTGATGGATTCCGGCCAAACTTAGGTCATGTATGTATCTTGCAGATCCAATTAATTGATTAGATTTTGGGGTCACAAGGTCATAGGTCAAAGGTCACAGGGATCATTATGTATGCAAAAATAGCTTGTGATCACATTATCATTAGAACAGATGGACAGATTACCATGAAACTCAGGACATGTATATATCTTGCTGAAGCAATGAACTGATTAGATTTTGGTGCCATGAGGTCAAAGGTCATGGGGCTCATTATGTATGCAAAAAATAGCTTGTGATCGCATTATCATTAGAACTGATGGATGGATTACCATCAAACTCAAGACACATATGTATGTTGCAGAGCCAATGAACTGAGTAGATTTTGGGGTCATGAGGTCAAAGATCAACGGGTCATACATGTACATGTATATGAGAAATAGCTTGTAATCACGATATTCTGAAAACCTGTTAATGGATTACATTCGAACTTGAATTTGAAAAATGTCTTCTGTTATGGTTTGTAAAATTGCTCTATGACGGATGCATCATTTTAGACTGCGCGCAGTCGAAGTTCCATCTAGTTTTGTATAAAGTATGGCCTTCAACTGGATCAAACAGCACTGAGGAAGCCATTCAGTGTTGGAAAGTGACACAGATCCTTAATGATTGGTTGATAGTGGACATGACACAGCTGCCAACCATTCCGTTTTTGCCGGAATTACTCCGTTTATTCCTCCAAATTACGGTATTACGTTTTTTCTTCATAAAATTTTTTTTTTTTTTTTTACATACCGCAAACAACTGCCCTAAAATGGTGATTTGATCACAGATTCAATAGAACACTAATTTTAGAACATACTTGAATAGAAAAATATTCTCAAAAAGAATGAAATATGCCGATAATACCAAAATAACCACACACAAAGTACCTGCTTGCATGGAAGAAACAGCATGATGAATGAACATTTCTACATTGGAAGTGTGTCGCACGTGGTTGCAAGTTTTGTTTTTATGAATTCCTTTTTTTTGCTTGAAATTCCTTTTTTTTGCCATCATGATTCCTTTTTATGGTCGCACAAGGTTGGCAGCTCTGACATGATGTTACCACGCATTTATTAAAAAAATGTGTAATTAGTTATTTGAAAGTGCTCCTTATATCGTCCGCATTTTTGAATGACTGGCGGGTACATATTGTCTACATCTAACTGTTTTCGCCTTACTTGAATTTATCAAAGGACAAGGAGCCTTGAACCATGTTATTTAAAAAATGACACGCATCGTGATACATGTAAATGTAAGCATTCGCAATATGTTAGTGGGAAACATTTCTTTATTTATTCCTTTAACCATGAACCTCTTAGACTACAGTGATGAGATCTGTGTGGAATTGAAGAGCGGCAGCAACATCCCTGTCAAGTTCACCACCAACTTTGCTGTTGACTTTGTCTGGAAATCAACATCTTTTGACAGGTGAGTTATTCACTTCCTACTGAAGTTTTTTTTTTTTTTGGGGGGGGGGGGGCAGTCAATTTGTGCATCCATTTCCTTGTGTGCTACATCGTGAAAGGGATTTCATTTGTGATGTTATGATGAGGTAAAGCGTTATATGCAGCTTATTTCTGTATCTTAAAATACAGTGCTCAGTAAAAACGCAGTGGGCCTTTCTGATGCGCAGTTCCCATTCATTTATATGTAAAAGAAATGAAAGGTAATGTTTTTGGTGGTTTACCGCGTCATATCTGAATAAGTTTTTATGCTCAACTAAGTACGAGATAAATTGTATGCATTGTCATGGAGAGTTAGTATGATAAGATTCTTACATCATGAGTTCATATGTCAAAGATCAAAATACTGTGTTCTAACTCCTTGCCTCATCAACAAATTAAATAGACTTTGTCAGAGTCTCGATAGCATATTATCCTATACTTTGTTTTGGTGATTTTATCATTTTGAAGGGGTCTGTAAGCCCAAAACCAATGGTAATTTTTATGAAAAATAAAAAAGTTGTTTTGAAAAACTGTAATTTAAAAAACAGGACTGTACTTCTTTTAAAGTTAAAGGCCCACTGCACTGCACTACTTATAGCTACTGGCTCCCTCTATATAGAAAACAATGCCTAAGTGGTACCCGTTGGTCCCCCATGATCCTCTTTTTCTATGTTAATTGAGATCTGAGTTGATGAGATAGCCACCTGTCAGTGACCATGCTGGGTGGTCTAATCCCTCCTGGCCAAACTAGTGCAGATGGAGACTTGTTACCTCTTTTACTTGACATTGTCTTGTTCTTGTACAGAATGCAAAATGCTCTGAAGACCCTAGCAGTGGATGACACGGCAGTGTCTAGCTACCTCTATCATCGTCTCTTGGGGCATGACGTTGAGAACCTAGTCCTCAAGTGCAACCTGCCCAAGAGGTTCTCGGCCCAGGGTCTACCGGAGCTCAATCATTCCCAGGTGTCGGCTGTACGCACTGTGTTGACTCGCCCTCTAAGTCTCATCCAGGTCAGTTGGTTGTTAGCATGGTAAAAAAAGTAAAGCTTTCGTCGATATCACAGTTCGGAGTAACTTGCTGTAGTAACCACCTAGATAGAAAGACCACCTGCCTATAAAGACCACACATTTTGTTTCTCTTGAAAATTATTTCCTGTTTAAATCTGCACTAAAGCAACTTATCTTCAAGACAACCTGTCTAAAATTACCACTTTTCTTGTCTCCCTTCAGCAGCCTTTGCATGCACAGGTTCATGGTACTATCAAAACAAAATTGTAGGCAACATTTTGTTTAAACATTCCAGTGTGTGGACATATGTCAATTGTTTTAACATTCTGTGATCAAGTCATCAAGAAACTTTGAACGTAGACATTTTGCAGCTTTCCATCTTGCATTCACTAGAGTAATATACAATAATGAATTTTGATATTTCATCGATTTATTTTACAACACATTAATTTCCTTTTTTACCTTAGTTTTTTTTTGTAACATGAATCCTTTCATATGTTTTTTTCTCTCCAGGGGCCACCAGGTACTGGCAAGACGGTCACCTCTGCTTCTATCGTGTATCATCTGGCCAAGCAAGGAACTGGGTGAGTTATTGCATTTGCTCTTCTATGATGATGATATTAATGATAGTCTGTTCTTTTATACATGAAAACAAAAATGATATTTTATTACCATAGCCATATATCTTTGATGAAATATCACATTAAACACCCTCCTTCCAACATGCCAAATTTGTTACTTGTAAGATTCAGCTTTCAGTTTCCAGTTGAAAGCTGTCAGCATCAAAATATTGTGTCACTGAAATCAAATAATCTTTCAAAACTATGACATGGAACATTAAATTTATTATTGTCCTATTTCAGGCAGGTGCTAGTATGTGCTAGTTCCTAGTAACATTGCAGAACTTGCTTTAGATCAGCTGACTGAAGAGATCCTTAAAAACTGCCGTATCAGACCGAGAAATCTTTTCAAGTTCATCACATGAGACATTGAATCATTTCATTCCTGTTTAATGCATGTACGAGTGTGTGCTCCCAGTAACATGAATATGGATCCGCTGACCGAGACAGATCCATAGGAATTATGGTCATCGGACTGTCATATTCATTGAACTGAAGAACTCTTCCCTTTCACTAAAGAGACTTCACTGTTTACCAGCTTTGGTCAACCAATGGAAACAAAATTGAACAGGAATGCCACGCTCGACTTTTGTCACATGCATATTGTACATGTATAAAAACAACCAAAACCAATGTGGCTGTCCAGGGTCTTGATCTATGGCAAATAAAGAGTGAACTTGTTTGATCTTATTTCAGGCAAGTGCTGGTGTGTGCACCTAGTAACATTGCTGTGGACCAACTGACTGAGAAGATCCATAAGACTGGTCTCAAGGTGGTCAGGCTGTGCGCTAAGAGCAGGGAGGCCATCGACTCACCGGTCTCTTTCCTGTCCCTGCATAACCAGGTAAATAATAATAATAGGCATTTCTATAGCGCCGTCTACCTAGACATTTTATTTTGAGGCGCCCTAATTATTACCCCAGCTTTACCCTAGCTACCATAACAGCGCTCAAGCAATTCAAGAAATTAATTCCTGCCAGGTTACCATTTTGATTTACCTCACCTGGGTCGAGTGTGGCGAATGGAGATTGATACCTTGCCAAAGCTCTATGAGATCTAAGACATGCTCTGGTGGATATTGCTATATTTAATTAGGTATTTGCAGATAGATGAGATGCAGACCATTTAAGAATCACTGATCATGAATTTGAATGGAATTGTGGAGATTGTATGATATATGCTCATTTGTCCATTGTCCAGGGGCCAATATCTAGGACAAGTCAAATTTTTAACTTCATCCCTGGTCCTAACATGAAAACATATCACCAAAAGCATACGCTAGACCTAACCCAAACCCCGGTCACAACTTATTAAACTCCCATCGTATATCACTGATGAAACACACACCAGGGGCCTGTTTCATAAAAATGATTATCTATAACAACTGAAAAATTTCTATGACAAATTTGCTCTCGGCCAATCAGATGCCATGACTTCAGTAGCTTATAACAGTAGCTTGTTGGCTTGTTATTGATATCAAGTTTCCATAAGGACCCAGAGCAGACTGGAGTCACTGGAATAAATGTGGGATGATTGCCTCAAGATTAAAAGTTTTGCTCATTGTTTTGCCATCAGGTGCGTAACATGGAGGGTGCAGAAGAGATGCAGAAGCTCCAAGCCCTGAAGGACGAGATGGGAGAACTGTCCAGCAATGACGAGAAGAGGTACCGCACTCTCAAGAGAAACTGTGAGCGAGAGCTGCTACAGGTATGTGAATATTTTGTCAGAGCAGGCCTATGCATTTGTAGGGCTGTGTTAAATATTGTGTTTCAAGTTTCAATTATACTAAGAGAAAGACAGGAAGGGTTAAAAAAAACATCATCTAAATGTTTCAACCAATTAATATGTGTTTGTCAATCCTTAATAGAAGAATGATGGATCCTTTTTTTCCCCATTTTATTTTGCTGTTTTTAGTTAGAGAAATGAAATTTGCAAAGTATCCTTAAATCATTAAAAGATTTTGTTTGTTAAACATACATGTAGATATCATCTACATAGACGACAACCAGTCATTTTACTGCTTCCTCCTAGAGTAAATGTTTGTTCATCTATGCAAATGTATCTCGCTTTAATAAAGGATTGGTAGATGTGTTGTGGTCGAGTGGATACGTCACCGGACTGTCGATCACAAGGTCCGCGGTTCGAGTCCCGCCGCGGCATCAATGTCATTTGGCAAGACATTGATCTACATTTGCCACTCTCCACCCAGGTGTTAAATGGGTACCCGGTAGGATGCGAAAGCCAATGTGGTATGCTTAGCAATTTGAGCCTAGTAGCTCTTAATGGAATGCCCCCAGGGAGTGGAGAAGGTGCATACATTGTGTGCGGGCAAGCCAAAATCCAATGACCGGGGTAATAATGTAAAGCGCTTAGAAACTCAGACAAAACCGACGCATTAAGCCCTATATAAAAATATTATTATTATTATTTAATGGATAAATATATAATTTCATGAGCCATGAAGCCAAGCTTGTTTGAATCCAAGTATGACACTGTTTATGACATTGTTATTTCTCCTGTTGTAGAATGCCGATGTGATCTGCTGTACCTGTGTTGGAGCGGGTGACCCACGCTTTGCACGCTTCAGGTTCCGTGCTGTGTTGATTGATGAGAGTACCCAGTCCACCGAGCCTGAGTGTCTCATCCCAGCTGTGCTTGGATCTAGACAGGTAATTAATGTCATGTTGATTTTACTAGGTGTAACAACAACAAACAGTAACAACAACATGCCTTGTTTACGCAGGGGGGTGCAATTCTATAATTAACCCTGGCTGTTGAGTCATCAAGGGAATCTTGGTGACTCAACAGATCTAAACGAATTTACTCCTTTTTTTTTTCCTCACGGGGCTGTTAACATGTATGACAAAGAGCCGCTGTTTATTGAAGTTTAATGCTGAAAGTCACAAATTAATTCAAATACGTTGTTCTTGCAATGATCACAACATCTGCTCAAATCAAGCAAAACCAAGCCCCCTTTTTAGACATCTTTGAAGAAAATAACAATTTAAAAAAATTAATTGATAGGATTTTCTACCTGTAGCATTTCGATAACTTCTTCTTAACCTGTTATACCCCATTTCATTCTCAATGGTTGAGTCATCAAGGGAATCTTAGTGACTCAACAGATCTAAACGAATTTACTCCTTTTTTTTTTTCTCACGGGGCTGTTAACATGTATGACAAAGAGCCGCTGTTTATTGAAGTTTAATGCTGAAAGTCACAAATTAATTCAAATACGTTGTTCTTGCAATGATCACAACATCTGCTCAAACCAAGCAAAACCAAGCCCCCTTTTTAGACATCTTTGAAGAAAATAACAATTTAAAAAAATTAATTGATAGGATTTTCTACCTGTAGCATTTCGATAACTTCTTCTTAACCTGTTATACCCCATTTCATTCTCAATGGAAAGGCAGTAACAATGAATTTCCAAAGTTGCATTTTATCTTGAGACTGATATTTATCAGGTGTAATGTTAGCATGCTTTTTCTCATCCAAGCACAGAGCATACTTTTATCACCTAAAAGATGAAAGAATTATGGCACCCCCTTTTTTTTTTCTTTCACCATCTTCTTTTCCAGCTTGTTCTAGTTGGTGACCATTGCCAGCTTGGTCCCGTCGTCATGTGCAAGAAGGCAGCTAACGCAGGCCTGTGCCAATCTCTCTTTGAGCGTCTGGTCGTGCTTGGCATCCGACCAATCAGGCTGCAGGTGCAGTATCGTATGCACCCCTCCCTCAGCGCGTTCCCGTCGAACATCTTCTATGAGGGCTCCCTACAGAATGGGGTCACGGCAGGTAAGCTGGAGATACAAATGGTATTCTTCTTGCAGTTTATCAATCATTAACAATTCAAGAAACTAAAATATTCTAAAACCAAACACTATGGGGATCTTTAAAACTTTTTTTACTTCAAGAAACTTTTGTGAATGCAAAATTTCTGTGTTTTGTGTCCGTTGTGATTGACATATTTCATACCATGAATTCTTTATCATGCACTTAAAATTTCTCATTTTATAGGTCATGTTACGTGTCCATTATATGTTCATGTCAAATGTTCATGATATTTGATTGTCACTAAAAGGATTATTATTGCATAATTAATAAATAACCCAATAAATGATCAATGACAGGACATTACAAGATACCATCTCTTAAGACCCAGAAATGCTTTAACACCCTTCTGGCTCACAGATAAAGTTGTTTTTGCTGTATAGGTCCAGCCATTGTCCTCAAATTTCACTTTCATTATGTGCTAAATCCTGAAAAGCGGGCTGCCATAAAGACATAAATAAATTTTATGATGGGCCATCATAAAGAAATTTATTAATTTTATGATTGGCTTCTTCTCATCTCATAAAGAAATGTATGTATTTGTGTTTGCATTGGTTTTTGTATTGTATTGTATTTGCACTGGTTTTGTAGAAGCATCCTCTGACACTTTGGATCAACATAAATATAAGGAAAAAGTTGTTATATTGTGCTCTTTTTTCTTCCTACAGCTGAGAGGATAAACCGTGCAGTGGATTTCCCATTCCCTCAACCTGACAAGCCAATGTTCTTCTACGCTACCACTGGCCAGGAAGAGATTGCTAGCTCTGGTACATCCTATCTCAACAGGTAAAGCCCAATCCAATCCAATCTAATTCAGTCCACAGAGTATCTGATATAGCACCCTTTTTCTTGCAGTTACAAAGCGCTTTACAATTTCCACCATATGGTAGTTTACAGTCTGCTTAAAGGGATCGTTCAACAATGTTAAATCTGAGATGCACGGTCCTACATGTTACCAGTGTCTGTGATATGGTGTAATATTGAAGCTCTGAAAAGATCATGCTTCGAAATGATCAGGAAGTGCCCCAAAAGAGTAAAAAATCTTTGAGTGACCAGTTTTACCATACTCATTTTTCCCAATAGACTGTAGTGTTATAAAAATTGTTAGGAAAACAAATTTTGAAATTTCGATTTCCAACCATAAATATCTTGATAACCAGACAGGCGATCGGCTTGTAAAAGTCATGGGGTTCCTGACGGACTTAAAGGTTTATAATTATCATTGCAGCATGAGCTACATAAGGGATTTCTGAGACAAAGAGACCCAATCCCTTTAATATCTGTTTCACACTGCAGCTCTTAATTAGCACCATCATTTTTTTCTTGTCCAGGACTGAAGCCTCCAACGTTGAGAAGCTGACTACCCGTTTCCTGCGTGCTGGAGTCAAGCCAGAGCAGATTGGCATCATCACGCCCTACGAGGGCCAGCGTGCGTTCATCGTCCAGTACATGCAGTACAGCGGCCCCCTCAACGTCAAGCTCTACCAGGAGGTGGAGATTGCCAGCGTGGATGCCTTCCAAGGACGTGAGAAGGATTACATCATCCTGTCCTGCGTCAGGGCTAATGATCATCAAGGCATCGGTTTCCTTAACGATCCCAGACGTCTCAATGTCGCCCTCACTAGAGGAAGGTAGGTTGGAATTTCTGCTAAATTTTCATGGCAGCCATAACTGCCCGAATAAGCGCAAAATAAGCGTACCTTGCCTTGCGTGCGTCTAATTTAGGACCCCTGACTGTGTCGCGCTTAATTTTAGACCATGGGTTTTGTGAATGAAGATTTAAACTATGGGTTAAATTTAAACCTCCTTTGTGAATTTGGGCCACAGTGTATATGGGAGAATTGAATGAAGATGAAATTACAAGGTAATACTTTTATCAGGGGCTGCTTCCTTACTAGCCTCTTTCATTCGTTTGTCGTTAGCTCTGAAGAACCATCGCTTTCACTCCTTGGAACTGTAGTCATAATACCATAAAGCAAAATCTTGTTAAAGTCCATGACCCTGGATAGAAGTGAGGCTGTTCTTACCATTTTTATCTTTTCATATTACCTAAATAATGTATGTCACGTTAAACTCTTTGCAGGCCAGTGTTTCTTTCTAAATAACTCTTACACAGTTGTTACAGCTGTTTAAGGCATCGTTTAACAATGTTAAATCTGAGATGCATGGTCAGTGTCTGTGATATGGTGTGATATTGAAGCCCTAAAAAAAAATTGCGCTTCAAAATGATCATGAAGTGCCTCAAAAAAGTAAAAATCTTTGAGTGACTGGTTTTACCACACTCATTTTACACAATAGACTGTAGTGTTACAAAAACCGTTAGCAAAACGCAAAATTTGATTTTGAATTTCAATCTTAAATATCTTGATAATCAGACATGCGATTGGCTTTTGAAAGTCATGGGATTCATGTATGACCCAAAGGTTTATAATTTGATTGCAGCATGAGCTAAATCCAGGATTTTGTTTCAGAATCTGAGACAAAGTTGCTGGATCCCTTCAATATTTCTAAACAAATATTTATCTTGTCCTGCAGGTATGGAGTGATCATCGTTGGTAACCCCAAGGTGCTGTCTCGTCACCCTCTATGGAACCATCTCCTGTCATACTACAAGGAACAGAAGGTCCTGGTCGAAGGTCCGCTAAACAACCTCAAGGAGAGTTTGATCCAGTTCAGCAAACCTCGCAAGCTCATCAACCCATCTAACCCGGTAAGGCAGTGATGGTGATGGTGATTCTCTTAACTCTCTATGTGTGTTGCTGGTGTAAAGCTTACTACACGTTATTCAACTATGCAAACGGGAAAGTGAAAATTAGTCACTTATTGCAGTTATGTTAAAGCCCCACTGCACTACTTATAGCTACTTGCGCCCTCTATATAGCAAGCAATGCCTAATTAGTGACCCCTTGCTCCCCCATGGTCCCATTTTTACTATGTTAATTGAAAGCTGAATTGATGAGAAAACCACCTGCCAGTGACAACTCAGGGAGGTCTAATTCTGCCTGGCCAAACTAGTGCAGATAGGCTTTAAAAGAAGTATAATTTTATATATTGTAGGTTAAACTCATAACTGGTCCTACAAATTGATAGTACGGTAGGGAATCTCAATTCTCTCGATTGAAGAAACATAAGCTCCTCATTTCGTCATTTTAACCACTTGAAGGCTTACTTCATACCCTGTGGCTTGGGTACTCATATTTTGTACTGGATTTTCACTTAGAACTACATTACAATTTGGATCAACCTGAAATTGACTTCTTACAACATTTGGTGTCAGTCATATTGTATTTTATATTATGAGCTATAGTTGCTATGCTGATGAATGTTTGTTGTGACTTCTTTCTTCTCCCTTCTGCTTATCCATGTACAGGGAGGTCGTTACATGAGTATGGCCATGTTTGATGCCAGGGAGGCCCTAGCTCCTGGTGGTGTCTTTGATAGATCCAGGATGTCCAATGGAGGTAATAGTTTAGAATGTTTCTTGTACTGGGCCCCATTGCATAAAACTTACCATAGATGCGAACTTTGCCATCAATGGCAACTATACTGGTAACAGGGCTCAACAGCCAATTAAAATCAAGGTTTCCATGGTAGTTACCATTGATGGCAAAGTTACCATTAATGGTAAGTTTTATGCAATGGGCCCCTGGTTTCATATCGGAACTTACATTTGATCACAGTCTCACAGATTTTTGTAGCCATTTCCAAGTCCATTAGAGGTAAATGTATGATCATGATTGAAATATATATTTATATATCTATATATATATATTGATAGTTTACTGGTTTCCACAATATCTCATTTTACAAAGAGGGTAACATCATATTGACAATGATTATAATATACATGTACATACAATACCGGTACACACTATTCAGGATATTGTCCCTGAGTTGAATTTAAGAGATATAGTGGCGGAGCCTATGGAAAAGCAAAGCTTGTTGTGGATAGGCTCCTTATATTATAAGCATTGTGCGTTCCTTGAAAAAGACTTTCTTGACATTCATGCAGGAGATGCACAACCGAATATTACAAATTGACATTTTTTCTCCATTTCGACAGGTCCATCTCACTTCCCAGCCAACCCTGGACGTGTCCATGACCAGATGGGGTACATCCAACCAAACCAGTCCCGCATCGCTGCGGCCAACTTCCCCATCCCTGTCAACATGTTCATGCCCCCGCCCATCCCAGGTGCCCCCGGCTTCTTCAACCAGCCCCCTCCACCAAACGCCCGTGGCATGGGTCCCAACAGGGGCCCCAATTTCTCTGGCAGCCCGGGAGGAGGAGGAGGTGGTCGTAAGAGGGGGCGTGGTTACCAAGGCTCACAGCATCCTCGTCAGCAGCATAATAACGCAGCTAGCAATGGACATGGCAAACCTGGTGGTACCAGTGGCAGTCAGAACATGTCACAGTACAACCTCTCTCTCAACAGCACCCAGAACAGTCAGGTAACTATACATTGATACTGACCAGGGAGGCATTTCACAAAACTTGTCATCAGTGACAAATGACAGTAGTTGTTATAAGCTACTGAAATCCTTGCTTCCGATTGGTTATCAGCAGATTTGTCATTTGTCATTGAAAAAAGGCTTTGTGAAACGGGTCCCATTTTTCTTTTTATTACTTGAAGCTTTGCCTAATATGACAATGAGTGATATTAGCCGACAAGTGGACCTTTATTTTGTACCAAAGAAGGATAATTAAAAATATATATATCATTTGTTCAACATTGTATTAGGGTGTAGATTTGTTCAAACTCTAATCTTTCATTACCTAAAAGGTGTACATTACCTCTTAAATTACAAAGCCTACCTTGAACAATCAAATGATAGTTTCCCTGTCTTGTTAAACCAAACCAAGAGAGTAAACAGAATAAATATGCTGTGCAAGGACTTGTTGCCAATAGAAGGATCTCTGAACAATATCTGATTTACTCAGTAATCCATTGTAATGCAGTCAAACCTGTCTACAGCGACTGCCCAAGGGAACACAAAAAGTGGTCTTTGTAGACAGGTCCCTTTCGTACATGTTTCAATGAGAAAACATTTTCAAGGGAAACAAAAAATGGGGTCCTTGTGGGCAGGTGGTCACTAAAGCAGGTTTGACTGTATCATAGACAACTTAGCTGTTTACCAAGTCATGCATACATGTACACTATCTTTTGCTCAACATGGATATGAATATATTTTCCCTCTCTCTCCACACACAGCCTGACGTATCACAGTCCTTCTCACAGGGTGTGTTGACCCAGGGTAACATGTCCATGTCTCAGCCTATGAGCCAGCCGGGACTCTCTCAACCAGGCTTCTCTCAAATGGGTCTGTCCCAACCGGGACTATCCCAGCCTGAGCTCTCGCAGGTAAATAGTGTTATCTTTTAAATTTTTTATTTAAAGCCCCCACTGCACTAATTATCGCTACTTGCGCCCTCTATATAGCAAACAATGCCTAATCGGTGACCATTGGTCCCCCATGATCCTCTTTTTCTTATGTTAAGTGAGAGCTGATTTGATGAGATAACCACCTGTCAGTGACCTTGCAGGGAGGTCTAATCCCTCCTGGCCAAACTAGTGTAGACAGGCTTTAATAGAATGCTATTTTCATAACTTTCAGTATACTATATTACAAATTAAGTATTCATTTTAAAAATCTTTTTATTATTTCTAATGATTTTATCTCTTCTACATTCTCTTTCTTCCATTGATATGCATTGGTATCGTCTTCATACATAATACTGTTGAATAAAAATGTTTGACAGATACAAAATTATCGACAAACATGTCATATATACAATTTCCAAAATTTGTCTATACATGCTTTAAAGAATGGGTTAAGAGATACAATTGTTGCCTCACTTCAAAAATATTTAGTATAATTTCTCAGCTTTCACCTCCAAAGATAATCCCGGAGGAAATTATTCTGGATGGCTTTCCTCCCTAGGAAGATTTTACATTGCTCCTATATAAAAAAGAGATAATGGATGATTGAATTGAAATGAAAATAATGATAATATGGGCACTTTACAGGGGAGTTTTGAAATTAAAATTAATTTATGTTTTACAGGAAAGCTTTATGGGCGAGTCTGAGTTCAAGTCTCAGCTAGATGCCGCCCTCTCCCAGGACTCCACATACCAGGGAGACCGCAACTACATGCAGGGTTTCGGCTATTAGTTCCTAGAGAGAAAGGGGGGAGTCCCCCCGAATATAGCGGAGAGAATTGCATACCATCAAGCTGAGGCAAAGGAATCATCGCTCATCTACCAACATCACCCGCAAGATCGGAGGAGAGTAAGAGGCAACCGCGAGAACAAAAATCAACATCGTCAGGAATTGTCTACGAAAGACATGCCCACTCTCACCAAGTGGCAGCGCTGGTGTTTTGTTTAAAAAATGATTAAAATAAGCGGCAGATAAATGTGAGACGACGAGGCAAAGAAGCAGCCAGAAGAAGAACAGATGAAAAGTGGAAGGGAAGGTAGAAAAGATGGAAGGGAAGGAGGAAGAGGAGAAAACCATCCTGAGCCATTTCTAGGAATATCTTGTAGGGCTATGTTGCTGTACATATCAGCAAACTACAAGGGCTAAAATATGAGCCATGAGATACATAAAAGCCATCAATATACTTGCTCCATGAAATTTGGGCAAGGCTCGTTTCCCGGTGGCTAGAAACAGTCTTTAATAAAACTTCTAAGAAAAATCAGCCACAATAGCATGAATGGGTACACAACTTGTACGAGAAAACAAGCACATTCATATTTTTCTAGGCTCATTAACTCCAGTTAATGTTGAGCCTGAGCCGTGAAGTGGTACGGCTAAAACAGTTTAAGCTAACGGATGTAGCAGTAGACAACCTATATGATGGTTACCAGTCAACAGGCTATGAGCGTACCGTATGCTCAGTACCAAAATCTGACCTGTATGATGGTGTATTGTTATAGAAATTCTGCTGTTGCTGTTATATCGTTCCTCTAAAAACCATGTGCAAGGTGATAAACATGTCACGTTATAGAGGGTTCAAAACCATGTGGAAGTGGCTTACGATAAATGTAGGTCTCCAACCGCCTTCATGCCTTTAATGGATATAATTAAAAGTTATTACAAAAACTAAGGGCTCAGAAAAGAATCCTTATGGAGTGTTATATGACAGAATGGGTCAATTAAAGTCCTGTGCTTAGCCCTGTTAGATTCCAGACTAGAAATGTGTTACGAGGGTCAGAGAATCAAGTAACGTCCTTTTCATCATGATGTGATTTGGTCTGTAGACACTTATTTACGAGGTGTGGTATTTTTAAAGAGTATTGTATGGTACCCCACTTTTTGCCCAAGACATTGAATCCCAGTTCTAGACGCACACATGACTGGTATCTAAAACTATGTCAGGTGTTGGTAACCAGAAATGATATTGTTTGACAGAAATTTTTGCCAAGCTAGACTGCTTATCTGTTTGTTCATGAGACTTCTCAGCTGCACAAAATACAGGATGTGTATCGTCAAAGAAGGATGCACACCTGAAAAGAGACAGTGGCCAATGGCAGTTCTACATTCAAATTTCAAAATTTTCAAGGGGACTATATGATAGAGTATGAATACATTCTACATATAGCTAAAGCCTGTTGTGGATATGGGTAAGACACTTTCTGTCTTTCTCTTAGGTATGAAACACTGTCTAGAAGAATTCTATATTCTAAAAGAGTTAAGAGTTAACTCTGACGCCCACCATCTATAGGCCAAATCACAACGTTGTTAAGGACTTGATAGTGAATAGAAAGGAGAGACTGTCAGAAAAAGACAGTTGAAAGAAAGGGAAGTTTGTTTGAGCAGCCCCACTGACGTTATGGATCGCCATAACAACCAGTGAGTTTAAGTGGGACAGAGCTGCTAAACAAGTCGTCGGTTATAGCCGTCTTTTTTTAAAGCTCATCAGCAGAACTGCTGTACATATTAGAAATTAAAACCTTATTTTCTTATTTTTTCTCATATTTTTCCTTCTAAGAACTTTAGTAGTGTTTAATAAGTGTGTTTAAAATGAGTGGTTGCTCGTTATGACATGGTGAAACCCGGGCAGTATTTCATGACGGATTTGTAATACGCATCATTTCTGTATCCCATAAAACAGAACTCAGTGATACGCACAAGTTGTGCGCAGTCGTCACACATTTACATGGAGAAAAGAAAACACAGCAGCTTTTTTGCGGCGGTTCAACGCACCATATCTGAACAAGCATTTATTTTTACGATAGCTGAATAAATTGTTATCTTCATGGTCAAAAGTTTTGTTATTTTATTGTTGATAACTCCACACCTTAAAGGCAGAAGTAGTAGTGTTCATTGGAGAAAGAATGCAGCTGTCAACATGTGGTTTGGAGAAAACGAGCAAAAACAGCTGCAAATCTGGTTTCAGGATATTGCCTTATTCAGGAACCAATGGGAGGTTTTTTTATTTTTCATTTTTTTATTTGGTACTTGGGTTTAGAATCTAGCAGTGAATCTATTTTTAGGGGAAATGTTATACATGTACACTGATTTTACTTTCAGATATTTTTAAAATGTTAAGCTATAAATAGCGTATTCTCATATTAGCACATCAGTGGAAAGGCATAGATTCATGGCAGTATACCTAATGTAATAGGCATATGTATACCTCGAAATCTCCCCTTTTTTTGTTCTGACTGCAATGGTAGTGGATAAAATATAATAACTTCTTGTTAGAAACAAGCTTTATAAGTACATTTGTTTTTTAAGATAGTTAAATCCATATTACACAATGTTTTATCTTCCTGAACTTTCGCTCAATTTCTTTATCATAGGCACTTTAAAATTTTGTTTTAATACTGTATTTATAAGTCAATTATATTTAGTTTTAGTTTTCACATGCTAATATTTACATCATTTCAAAATAGCACAAGAGTATTGAAACCAATAATCTGCATAAAATGTAAGATCTGCAATTTGTCAGGTAACTCGTAAAGTGGGAGAAAAATCATCCATCAAAATGCTGTGCAAAATTTTAAGCAATTTAGTAATAAAACACAAAGATGTTATACGTTGTGAGTGTAGTGATTGTCACCTCCACCTTACATGTGTATTGCATCATGCATACTTGTGCTGTAAACAAGCAACTACTTCGTACAGGAAATTGAAAGAATCTTTTCCTGTACAATTTTAACAAAAATGCCCCGCTCGTCATTTCACTTTGTAATCATTCACCATAAGGGACGTTTCTCATGTTCATTCTTCACGAGACTATAGATGTAAATTCAAGACCCTGCAATGTGTCATGCAGTGTATTTTTGTGAGGATCATTTTACTACTTAGAGCAGGGATGCCAGTTGGGGTTATACCTGAATAGCCTGGAATGAGAACCAGATATATATCGGAACCCCTTATGTTCTGCATAATAAAAAGCCCTGTAGCAGAATGGTGATAGGGCCAGGAGGTCGGACAAAAGCTCGAAAGTCGGAATCCCTAAAGATATTTCAACAGGTTTTATTACCCCCCCCCCCCACCTTTCAACTAAGAATCCCATTTAGAATTGAAATCCAGAAGATAATGCAGACTTTGAGAAGAAGAGGAGAAATAAACATGTACTGTGGTCAATTGTAACAATGTCCGATCACCTTATCCACATAGACAAGCTGCATGCAGATTCTTGATACAATTACAAATGTTTTGGCAAGTAGATGCAATGACACCTCACTGACATGCTGGGCTAGTGTTTCATCTGTGTTGCTGTGTTATGTCAAGCTTCACTCCTTACATATCCGCACTTATATTCTAGTATTATTTCATTTAAACAATAAGTATGCCATGTTTTGTCGTACACTGCATTTGGTAGTAAAGTCCACCACCCCCATTCCAATTAGCTTGCAGATTACATCTTGCAAATTGAAAGATTACAGCAAAATACCTTGCTGCTATGTAACATGATCATGGACCACACAAGCTACATTTCCACATGCATGTAAATGTGATTTCTTATGAAATATTGCAGTCATGTACTGACCATATTTCTTTAGAAGTCAGACAATGAATACCTATTCAAGAGAAATGGAAAAATGCAGTTGATCCCTAAATGAATCTGATCTGTAATTGCAATACATATTCAATTTTCAAGGCCGGTACTTGTTTCAGAAAAGGATTGATAACATGTGTACCGGTAATTGGCTCAGTAAGCTCGATTTTGGAGCTACTCAATTCTATGGCCTGCAAGGTGTGAAATGGACTCATAGCTCATGTGGTCTATATATCCACAGGCTTGTTTGAATTAGTCAACAGGATAAGACAAGTTCTTAAAAGATTGCTAAATGACCCCAGAGGATGCCTCGTATAACGCTTCAAATGCTGATAGATTGGCACATAGCATCTTACATGTTCATAAGCTGTTAGACAGTGAACTGGGACAGAGATACGTTTAGTCAAGAACCCTACACACGACGCAACATCTCTCATTTTAGAAAATCAGTTTCAGTAAACTAAAGTTATGACTGTGTACACTTATTGTGTAAGTGGAAATATAGCTTGAAACCTACTTCAAATTACCTGTCAAGCATTATTTCTTTTAATCATTTGTTCTTTTTTCTCGTTTTGTTGGCATAAGGATTAAATAATAATTGGGAAAATTCAGTGTATGTTGTCCCTTTTTGTGTGTGCTTTTGACTGTAGAAAAACATGTACATGTATGTCTTCTTTCTCCCATCTTTCTCTTTCTCTCCAACACACACACTCTCAACCCCTCTATCTCCTTTTCTCTCACTTGTTCCACTGAGTTTGATATCAACTGCAACTCTGGGCAATTGGATCAATATAATTTACCAAATATATCAATTAGTAGGCAGTTTCCCAGCAAATTTGTAGCATGACATATAAGTCGAAGCCTATTCTTTCACCTGATTGGTAGTAAGAGTTTCCATTTCATTTGAGAGGGGGGCGTTTCTAAAACTGGTCTATACCTTCCAGGGTACATTTAGTGATGTACAGGAGTAAATTCAAAGAGATTCCTTACCATTGTTACTCCAATAAGTCTTTGTCACATAAGTCCTTTATTTTTGTTTTACATGCATTTTAAATGTCTAGGTACTATTAATTGAAAAAGACCTGAAAAATCAACCAGTTTATGATGGGAAGCATTGTAGCAACAATGGTATGGCATCCTGTAAAAATTACTCCTATACATAAAAAATATGAATACATCTTTTTTTAAACACTTTTCATACTGAAATATCCAGAAAAAGAAAGGAATCTAGGGTTCTAAAATCCAACAAATGGGAATGGGTGGCAGCTATGCAGGTGTATGAATAAAGTTCCTATTCTTGCCATTATAAATATAATCATCAAACATTTTGTAGGTAGGTTTTCTTCATACAACAGAAAACCCAAATTATGTATTCTCTTATCAACATTTGTCTTCAAACACATTTTCTGGGGGAAATCCTTGCAGAAGTGTGTTTTGAATGACATCCTCTTTCACATTATGATACAATTTAAGTGAAATTTTGCCATAAACTTTTTGGCTTCGAACACACTCTCTCTTAGTCTCTTTCACATAACACTAACTCATCAACACACATACTTCTCTTCATCCATGAAAACTGCAGAAATACACAAACAAGACCAGTCGGAGGTAATTTTTGTTTGCCTTATGCAGGCTGATGAAAGTTGTTTATTTCTTTCACTTTGTACATGTCCTAAAGGAAGGACAGCTGAATAGGTGTGGTTCGCATTTCTCCAGCAATTTGAAGTTGGTGTGAATGTTCTGTGGATTATATGGAGGTCAAGAAGGTCTTTTTGCTTGTGGGTGTGACCGAGGGACGGTCCATCGTCTACTTGCTCTGGGACTGGCGGGCGCTCTCGCGAAGAGATGCAGACCTCTTGCGCTTCAATACTGCGTCCCTCTTTTCCTTCTGCCTTTGAGCGAGGAGCTTGGCGTACTCGGCGGCTTCCAGCTTGTTCCTGTCAGCACGACGGCGCTTGATGGCGACATTGTGACGCTTGCGCTGAAGACGCAGAGGAGTGATCAGACGCTGGATCTTGGGTGCCTTGTACTTGGTCTGCTTCCTCCCTATATTAAAGAAAAGGATATGATCCAAATGAATTAGATGGAAGAAAGAATATATGCATGTGCCACATATTCAAATAACATAATCCCAACTAATGACATGTATTATAATACCTTTTCAAACCATTATGGGCTTTTAGAACTTATTGGACCTCTCCAACTAGATTTCCAGGGGCCAAACCCTATCATTCAAATACAAATTACAAGGGATTGTTATGCTGATCAGAAAGGGCTATTCAGGGGTTTGCCCATTTCCATGAAGGTATTGTCTCACTTGGAAAATGAAAAGCTATCAAGCTGAGAGTCAATGAAGGTCACTGAAGACATGGATAAAGAACAAAAGAAAATCTTACACATCAAGGTGAGGCATAAACACAAAACAATTTGATCTTCCTTTGAGTAAATGTTGTTATGGTGCTTTTTTCCAGTTTCCATGAATGAAAGCTAGTGAGACTAACTGAAAAGACTAAAAACCTTTGCCATGCAACTTCTGCCCAGGTTTCTGCCTCCAGTTTGTGAAATGAACCTTCTGGTAGACGTCACAAGCCCTTTACTAAATCAAAATAAGTTGTATAAATCCAGCTTTCTACTACTCCTCACATACTGGCAACCCTGAAAGAATCACTGAAGATTACATTAAATCTGCAATTGCATACACCTTGTTTCCTGGGTTTTCTGTTATATGAAATAAACAGGGTGCTTTAGCATTACTTACCTTCCTTGGGTGGGAGTGGGCGACGGACAACATACTGCCTGACATCATCCTCCTTGGTAAGGTTGAAGAGCTTGCGGATCTTGCCACCACGCTTGGGTCCCAACCTACGTGGGATGGACTTGTCGGTCAGGCCTGGGATCTCACCTTCACCTGCAATGCACATACACAATTATATTCCAGGAAATTTAATATCAGGACTATTGAATATCAGAACTGACAAATACCTCACTGCACAAGTGATCCTAACCTTATGGACTATTCCTAATCTGAACACCAACCCTAACCCTACCCCTGACCTTAACATTAAAGACACATAATAGTGGGTTCTCACGGGGAATTTGACACCATTCAGGTATTTCTTGATGGACCTACGGGTTCGCTGTGTGCAGACTTGTAAACACATGAATTGTATTTCCACCAAGTCTGGCGTCGGCCAATTATGGCCTTCTGCACATGAAAACTGATGACCCACTCCCTTTAACAATCATTATTACACAGTGCTGATGTGTGGAAAGGTATTCTGCAATTAGGCCAAATTAAGAATGTTATCATATATTCTGATCATAGTTTCCTTGTGTCATATATAAATGAACCATTAGGCTACTTACCCTTCTTGACAATGACCAGGTTGAGAACTGAGAGATTAGCATCGACAATACAGCCTCGGACAGACTTGCGTTTGCGCTCTCCCCTTCTCCTTGGGCGATAGCAGGAGTGGCCCTTGCTGAGGAGAAGACGTACACGTCCATTGGTCAGGATACCTTGCTTCATGGGGAAACCTTGCTTGTCGTTTCCTCCACTGATGCGCACAACGTAGCCCTGCGGAAGAAAAACATGCACAAGAAGCAAGGTCAGAACTCCGCAAACAGCTACACAATAGAATGTTGCGATGTAATCCTACTATTTAAACTTTTCCAACTGAATCTTATGGCATAAACATTACCTTCCTTATTAATAAGGAAGCAAATTCCTTACAACATAGCTCAACACTAATATAGAACTGGTGCACAAGGACTCGTGAGTACCAAGAAATAACAAGCAAAAGAAACAAGAACAAAAAGGAGTAAACAAAATACATGTTACTAACCAATGAACCAACATATTAATCTAACTGGAATCCTGCATAGACCTAGAGCTTTTAATCAATTTCATTGGCTTTTCATCATTTGCCTAGCCATCACTCTCAGATCTGGTATCAAAAAAGCAAGAGTATCCAAACTATGAAATTGGGTAGAATTCCAATTGCCAAAATCTGACTTCTCTTTTAAAGTTAAGGAAAAGAAATTACAATAAAAGTCTGCAAGGAAAGAAAAAAAATGACTGCATATAAAGATATTGAATTTCTCTCTACAACTGGCTAACAAGTAAGGAGAAAAAAGAGCTCACCTTCCACTCATCTCCGAGGGACTCGGCAGTCATCTCATGAGCCATACGCTTGTCATAGAAAGCCCTCAGCTTGTGCTCATCATCAACCTCGATGAGCTTCTGTGTGCCCACAGCGGGAAAACTTATATTCAGCTGAAAAACAAATAATTTGAAAGGATTGAGAATTAGATTACATAAAATGGGACAAATTAACTAAAAATTTGATGGTGGCTGGTCTCGAAAGGGTGCGTTGCCTAGTTTTTCACATCTGTCATTTAACTAGTTTTAAGTCATTTAAATTGAAAAATCAAAATTGAAACAGATTGCAAATCAGTAGGGGTGCTGGTCTGAGAATAAAGATCCTCTGCCTAAACGAGGATCATCTTCGTAGGATCAGACGTTTCGTATTACCGATCCGCGCATTTGGCAATGTGAAAAACAGATTCCGCAATTATTTTTTTTGAAGCATTTCACATTGACTTTGTACAGAGGGGTTTCACGTTGTGACAATAAATCTTTGGGAAGACGGACAACCAATAAAAGTAGACGGTGAACTGGTGTATTTTATCATGCAGAATCCGTTTTTGCATCGCCAGGAACCCAAACTCGCTGATGAAAAAAAAATGTTCGATCCCTATTTTATATGACGCAATTTGTCCACATTTACAAGGATAGGTCTATCCTTTCTCAGACCAGCGTCCCTACCGAAAACTAAATGAAACAATTTTTACATAGCTAGGGTCTAGTCTTGCAGATCATCAGGCATGGCATTTATTTACAAGAATCTGAATTAAATAAATAAATAACATGAAAAACAACAAACAATTACCTGGACTAGGGTCTAGATCTAACTTAATATATTTTTAAATGGCTTTTCTCGAAAAGGTGCGTTGAACACCACACTGCGCCGCACCCTTTCGAGACAAACCTCCAAAACTGGATCTTTAACAATTTACATTCATGACATTTCTGTGATGCTAAATCTGACACTTCCAAATTAGGGGTCCACGTGTAACTGAAATGTATTGTTATTAATATTAGGGCAGTCTTTGATTAAGCTAGGCTAATTAAATATCGGAAGACTTCCGAAATTCTGAGTTTGCCCGCAGAGAAACACTACCATTCCTATCCTGCGACGAGACTGGCTGCGCGAAGTAAATCTGACTGGGTGGTTTACAGAGTCACGACACACGAGTATGACCGTTTTACAGAGTTTATTTATAGACGTATAAATCAAAATCGTTTTATCTTTGCCTTCAGTAGACAAGGATTAAAAATCCATGAGATTAAGTGTTGCAAACGCATAAACTGAACGTATGCATTCAGTAATCTCGTGGAATACTCATGCCCACACCAAATGCAATTTTACACACACACTCGCCATTTTCGTTTTTTTACATGTTCGCTCTGCGACGGGAGGGTATAAAAATCCGTTTCATCGACATACTATTGGTCGAAAATCACACTTCTATTTCATTTTCAGGAAAATTACTAAATTAAAGTTTCTGTCGCTGAACATATTTTTCAGATTGGGGTAATAATGTGAACGTTAAAGGCATTTTAGCTACCTTCATCCTGAATGTTGCCTACAGCGTCGTAGACGTAACATGAAAAAGAAAGATTAGACTTGCTGCAATGCTAATTTGGATTTCTTTTTTGCGATACCTGAAATTAGCCTAGCTCTCAGACGAAATGCAACTTTATTCCAAGTACGCTGTCATTTGAAAATCATAAAATAACGAGATAGTCTACATTCATACCCCACAATCAGGCACGTAGCCAGAGTTTGATTTTTTTGTATTTATTTATTTTACTTTTTTTTTGGGGGGGGGGGGAGGGGGGCACATACATGTAATCGATCGAGGTAAAAAAAAAGGGGTCTAAAAAAGTTCAACCGATCTGGAAATTTGTGGGGGGCACGAGCCCCCCTCCCCCCCCCCCCGTGGCTACGTGCCTGCCCACAAGACAGTCGAACCACTTCTACACTCCTCGAATGAGAACAGCTTTTGCCCCCCCCCCCCCAAAAAAAAAAAAAAATATATATATATATATATACTAGTATATATATATTTAAACCGGTCCAGTATTTTGGAATAACATAGATAACAAAGTACCAGTCTATACACATTCAAAAAAGTTTAAGATTAAACTTTTAAACATATAAATGATCAAATCTTGATTTGTTTGAATCTCGACTCAATCTCTTTCTGAATCTCTTAAACTCACTTCAAGTGATCTATATGTGATGGAGTTAATGCAATTGAGATTAGAATATACTTTTTTTGGTGGACAGTTGCTAAAATCGATTTTGATTTATCATTATTGATTTACCAACTTTTTTTGGTGGACAGTTGCTAAAATCGATTTTGATTTATCATTATTGATTTACTCATTTTACTGATCTAATTTGCTTTTTCTAGAGCTTTTGCAATCCTTTATTTTCCTCTTTTTAAAAAAAATCTTTCTTTCTTTTTGCCTTCTACTATTTTCCTCCATTTTTCCTCTTTTTAAAAAATAGAATTTCATAGCTATATTTGTCTATTTATAAGCATACTTTGTTCATGTTTTATTGTAAAACAGCATCTGAGGAACTAACACTTAAACAAGCTCTGCTTTAAGTTAGTTCCTCTTTTCTCGTGCTTTTTCAATTATATTTGTTGTTTCATTGCATATTTGTTGTGATATAATTATTCTTGTATTATGTTTTGCATGAGAAATAAAATCATTTGAAATTTGAATTTTCATTGATAACATATTCATATCATTAAACAAAATATTAGCAACGACTTTAATAAAAAAATAAAAAAAATAAAAAAAAGAGCATGCGGGTAAATAATAGAACCATTGACAATTCGGTTAAATTCATAAATTGCATATTGCAAATAATTAAAAATAATATTTAAGAAAGTATATTTCTTGTTTCTAGACCTTATACCTATAAGGCAACAACGAATATTTCTAGTTCTACTTAGAATAGGTGAGATATAAAATTACACACTAGTTTCAAACACAAAGAGATATACATATGTAATTGTTGGTTATTGTATTTTGTTTGTTATAGCGCTTAGAGACTTCGGTGGAAAGCGCTCTATAATCAAGCACCGTTCTTTATGTTTTTTTTGTATTATTCATAAATATACTATCAGTTTCACTTTTAAAAAAGTGAGAAGAATGCATGGGGCTGCGGGGCATATATGTTTTTCGTTGTAATTAAGGTTTACAAGACTTGTTTTATTATGGGGGGGGCATGTATCATGTACCCTCTCCCCACTCCGGACCCCCACCCCAACCTAGCTGCCAACTGTTGGCGGCCACTATACTGTCCCGTGAAACAAAGAAAAACTCACATTACCAAGCAAAATATTTCTTAGACAGCGCCCTCTGTGGTATAATTCAACAACCCTTCCGCCATCTTCACGAAGGTCAGTGCGATTCAATGGGAACTTTTGTTTAGGTCGTCGCTTTAATTCGCACACAGAGAAAAGGAAGATCTTCAGCTACTGCAAATGACAGAGACTGTGATTTGACGTCGTCGTAGCTGCTTTTGAAAGTTTCAAAATGTCGTGTGCTGCCTCTCTCAAACGAGAACTCAAGATTTTAGAGACACATTTCCCCAAAGAAAATGAAAGGTTCCAACTCCTGTCGGCGAACATGGATGAATTGACTTGCAAGTTTATCGGTTCAAGTGACGAGGTCTTTATCATACATTGCAATTTCACAGTAAGTTGGATAGAAAAATGAAAGAAACTCTCCTTCCATTTTTGTGGTAAAATACTTTTAATAAAATGACCAAATAATCTATACTAATGTCAGTGAAATGTGTAGAATAGGTACTTGTTGACATGGATATGGATGTCTGAGACTGAGTGAGAGTGAGACTGAGAGTTGTGATCACTGATTAGACTTTGGTCTTTGACTTTGGTCTGTCGGTAACTCCAGGAAGCTACGGACACCGACGCCTGAGGCGTCGGAGCTTCAGAGGCCGCATAGGAAAACGATTCAAACAGCGGGTTTGCCACATTATCTCAAAATATGCAAAGGGAGTAGATCTAATTACAATTTTGACACTAGGTTGCTCAACTCCTCTGGGCATCTCGCTGGCCACTTGAAATTATAATTTGAAGAAGTCTTCCGATGGGAAAAAGGGGGTGATTCTTCGTCCTACCCCGACGATTCTTCCATCATTATCGTCAATTCAACATGGCGAAGAGAAAGTGTGCATGCGCGGTAGCGGCGCAGCAAATGAATGCATATCTTGAGATAATGTCGCCAACCCGCTGTTTGAATCGTTTTCCTATGCAGCCTCTGAAGCTCTGAGTCTGATGCCTTCAGTGTCTGCGTCTGAGCTTCCTGGAGTTAGTTGTTGGTAGACACCACACCACAAGTACTCCTCATATACTAGAGTCTAGACATGATAGAGGAACACTCAACAGGATAGTACTGTTAAGAATGACTGAACATATTGAAATGAAATGACTAAGTTGACGTAGTTAATACCAACTGGCCAGTGAAATTAGATTTAACGAATACTAAAGTTATATTTTACATCGTGATCATTTGATTAATGTGACTGTGACGTGAGTGAGGGTAATGAAATGAGAAACATAACAACATTATATCTGATGTCTATTCTTTCATATTTTTGGCGCTCATGTTAATAATAATAATAACAATGATAACTAATGAAATTATAGGAATGAAAATAATGATGATAATAAGAAGAATAATTTACAATTATGATTTTAACGGAAAAGGTGAGTTTTTAGATATTGAGAGATTGGGAGTTATTGAGAGATTTCTGGTTGAAGAGAAATCTGTTTAGGCCCTACATGACACATGTATTGTAGGTTATTTAACAGTTTGGGAGCATCAGCAACTGTTGTGAATGCTCAAAATACATTGTGTGTGGATATTAATCACAACAGGCAACAAATGAAAAATACTCCAAAGTCATAAAAAAACTAAGTGGGTGTAAGTGTCAAAACTTTGGGGCTCTGAGTTTAATGATTATTTATCATGTTTGGAAGTGATTTATTTTTCAAAATAGCTGTCCGTTAAACCCAAAGGTAAAATTTCTTATTGCATTAGTGACAAGCCAAATATATATGTACACACAAAATAGTAATAGACTTCTGTCCATTTCATTTTAAAAAAAATCATAAGAACTCTGATAACGTCTTCTCCAGAAATAAAGATTTTCCAGACTTTTGATGGGAATATTATTAATTTCTTATTATGCATGAATCCAAAAGTTGTAGTTCATAATTTCGTGATTGATTTTAAACAAAATTGTTTCAAGGAAATTTTAAGTGGCTCTCTCCATTGGTGGGGCCAGATGTATTTTTTTTTAAATTTGGTTGAACTACATTTTGAAATGTAGGGTTTACTCAGCCATTCCTTTTGCAGTACATGTGTAGCACTACATCTTCACTTCTGGATCATGTAGTTTTCTTGGAGCCATCAACAAGATTCAACATCAATCAGAATACGCACGTTTTGACAATTTCCTCTACAGTTTTCTGAATAAATTATTGTCGGATTGCAGAGTATAACCCCTACAAATGTACATTCTGTATGACTAACTGACTATGACTCATGTGAGTATAATTAACCAGGAAATTACACAACTTTTTTTTGTGAAAAAACAAAATAGTTTTGTTTTTGCCCCCCCCCCCCCCCCACCCCCTCCATCTTCCATTATGTTCAATGCCTCATCATTATATGGCCAGATATTTTAGGAAGAAAATTAATTGTTTGATTGTTACTATCTTGAAATATTTGTGTGAGAGAAACTGAGAGGTATGCCACTGACATCTGTTGTCCAGATCCACAATAAAAATCATTACAGTGTATATTATTATGGTATTTTGTTTTCATTCTATATAGGATTCCTACCCTATGTCACCCCCAGTCTGGTTCTCTGAAGCAGATGATGCAGTTATCTCAACAGTGATAGAACAATTAGGTGATGTAACAGGTTCAGAATGCTTGGTGAGTACATAACAACCACTTGACAAAATCAATAGTATTCTTTGAAAGTTCTCTAGAACTTTGAAATTTGCTTTCTTCTACAACAGCTTAGGATTAATTTTGTTGGTTTGTTTTTGTTTTAGATGTACATGTAATTAGTTAAAACAGTAATTTTTCTCCTGTTTTTCCCTAGGTTGGATTAGGTTATTAAATGGATTATAGTACTGTTTGCAGTGTATGTTGTTTTCCTCACATACCATTTTTTCACTGGGCGTGTGAAGTAAGTCTTTTTTGACTGGTACATTAATGCACTGAGAATAGTGAGAAAAAACTTCAAATCTCTCTGTTGTAAATATGATCATATTTCAACATAAAGTTTCATTACATGTACGGTACATGGAATATATTATGAAGAATACAAGCAGAGTAAAATGCAATTCTTAGCATATTTGAGGCAAATTGTTATTCAATTCAATTTTCTTTGTATCTTTCTTTGAATGATCTCGCCTACAGTTGTTGCGGCATGTGAAACATTTAGTGTGTGAACTGTGTAAGCTTCATAATGTAAATCTACCAGTCAGTCTGCCTCATCTTGTGCGACAATTACCACCAGAGGTAAGCTTATCATATTCCACCCCATTTGAGCTTAAAGGTATAGACTAGTTCTGGTCATGCGATTGCATTGTGAAAGAAACGTTGTGGAATCTAGCATAAAAGTATTTGTGTGTTCTGCAAGGTTCTGGAATCATCAAAATGATAAGAAATTTGGCCCAGTCTTGGTACAGTTACAAGCACTGTACACAGAGAGATGTATAAGGGGCTACCCTACATGTATATCTATCCAGTCGAGATAGATATAATAATTTACCAAATATATCAATTAGTAGGCGGTTTCCTGGCAAAATTTGTATCATCACGTATTAGTCAAAACATATTCTTTCACATGATTGGTAATAAGAGCTTCCATTTCATTTTTTGAGCTGGGGCATTTCCAAAACTGGTCTTTACCTTTGATGGGCTGTTCCAGCATGTAGGGCAGACTATTCCATGGTGTCGGGAAGCCTGAAAGGGGGGGGGGGGTAGCTAGTAATGAGGTGGGTTAAATGCAAAAGCAGAGTAGCCATGCTTTGGAGTATCGGGTGGGTGTGTATAGTCTTTTTCTCACCTTCTTTAATTCTCTCCCATTTTCTCAGAATGATAAACAATAGCATTTCCTAAATGCTTTGTTTGATAACTTGGCCTTTAAAAAAAGGGTCATGTGAAAATCTGTTTTTAGCTTTTTTTTTCTTACCTTTTTTTTTCTTACTGATTGTTTTACTAGGTTTATAGAATCCAATAAAAAGAACTAAATTTCACAACTTGTTGACAATCTCTTACCAGTGTTACAAAACACTTGCAGAGCTAGCCCATGGGGTCTATCATATGATGTTGGAATAGAGAACTTCCTCAGTTATGTATCTAGCAAAGTCCATCAGCATTACCCATCATTAATTTGACTTGTTTTTTTCTACCAGAGAAATGATGAGGAGATGGTTAGTGCAGATGAAGATGAAATACCAGATGATGATGATGAGGAAGAGGTCCATGAGGTTGATGATTGCTTAGACCATTATGAAATGGAAGATGAACCTAGGTAAGACTTCATTGAGATTTGGTTATTTGAGTATTAAAGGGCCACCTAGTCTGCATGAAAAATTTTTTATATTTTTTTTAATTATTATTTATTTGACCAATCGGAAAACATACATGAGTATAACAATCAGAGAATACATAGACATTTCATAATACATTCAAACAGCTTTATGAAAGTGGAGAGGAGATAGAGAGAAGGATACAATCTGCTGGTCAGGGGTGACAAAAGCAATTTAAATTGCTATTACTCGAAAGCATGTCACCCCCCACAGTCTGCATCCTGGAAAATTAAGAGTAAAGAACAGAATAAAAATTCACAATATGAGAAAATAAATAAATATATATATATATATATATCAGGATAACAATAGTTGGAGCAATTACTATTATATCCTTGATTACTTTCATTACATCATTATGTCTTTACGTTCATCACATAAATATATAAATTTTCAAATCAATAACTTGGTGCTTACATTAGAAACATTTGATATGATTATTATTGGGGAGGAAAGTTACATAATAGTATAAAATGCTTAACAATAATTTCTAACTTACAAAATGAAATGAATAAAATTGTAATCTGAAGCCTAATATGTACTGAACGGAACAAAGAAATGAGCTTGCAATATTGATATTATTTCTAAGTGACAAAATAAACAAATTAGTCAGTTATGATCTAGGTAAGATGTATAATTAATCTTAGGGTTTCCAAAAAGGCACAGAAAAATATTTAAACAGTTGCTTTTAAGTGACGATCAGCTTGAGAGAAATGGACAGAATTTGAAATCAGACAAGAGTATGAAAAATATTACCATTAATAATTATCAATACATTGTTTTACATTGAATTTAATGAGTTCAATGAACAGTGAGAAGAGATTGTTTCAGTGTTGAAAGGAAGGATGGAATAGAATTAAGTACAGCAGTATCTTTTATTTCTGTGGGAAGGTTGTTCCACAGTCTTGGAAAGCGGTGAGATGGAGAAAGAAAAAGTGACTGTGTCCAAGAAGGAAGGTGGCGGAATGTAAGTACCTCTTGCCGCCTGGAATTGATCTGGGTGGATTCAGTAAGAGCCTCACAAAGGTTGAGACCACTGAGGCATTTGAAAGTGAATGAAAGAAGGAGATAGTCTCTCCTGGAAGATAAGCTTGACCAGTGAAGAGTAGTGAGTCTATCTTCATAGGACATGTCGCCTCTCCGTTGTTTAAGGGCAATACGTGTGGCTGTGCGCTGAACGTGTCTAATTGCTGCTCTTGTTTGAGGGTGTGAGGATGCCAGGCTGGACATCCGTATTCTAGTATTGGAAGAATGAGAGCTTTGTAAATAGAGAAAATGGCTTGTGTTGAAGCTTGACCTGCCACTACTCTAATGAACCCGAGGAGACGGTTGGCCCTTTTGACGATATTATCAATATGTGTGTTCCATTGTAGATTAGCACAAATTGTGACCCCTAGATAAACATATGAAGGGGCACGTGAGAGGTCAGACGTGTTGAGTTTGTATATTGGGGGTTGCAGATTCCTGCTCCTAGTTACATGGAGTATTTTACATTTGGAGGGATTGAAAGCCATTTGGTTCTGCTCGGCCCATTCATGTAGGAGTTGCAAATCAGTTTGAAACCTCTCTTCATCATTGGGTGACTGCACCGTACGAAACATCAGAATGTCGTCAGCAAACATAACAGATTTAGAAGAAAGGGGGAGGGAAATATCATTGATGAAAAGGTTGAAAAGGAGAGGGCCTAAACAACTACCCTGGGGCACTCCGGAAGTCACATCAACCCAGGGAGAAGAGGAACCCTGAAAAATTACACGCTGTAATCGTCCAACGAGGAAGGACTTAATCCATTTCCAGAGAGTACCTGTGACATTAAACTGTGCAGATAGTTTAGACAGTAGGATGTGATGAGGCATTTTATCAAATGCTTTGGACATATCTAGGAAAGCTGCATCTACACGAGGAGGACGATTTTTATCAAGAATTGTACACCAAGCTTGTAGGACATTGATAAGCTTGGTGACGCAACTGCGTTTCTGTGTAAAACCGTGTTGGTTTGGATTGAGGAGACCACATGTTTCTACATGTTCGAGAATGGAAGAAGAAACAATTTGCTCAAGAACCTTACATATAACAGAAGTGAGGGCAACTGGTCTGTAGTTTGACATGATTGATCTGTCACCCTTCTTAAAGACAGGAGTAATGTTTGACCGACGCCAAGAATCTGGTAATTTGCCTGTATTAAAGGATATTTTAAAGAGATGGACGAGAGGATTAGATATTTCTAGGGCACAGTTCTTCAGTATAACGGGAAGAACCCCGTCAGGTCCTGGGGCTTTAGATGCTGAGAGCTGAAGGAGGCGGTTGCCTACCTTGTGAACCTGTACCTGTATTGAGGAAAGCTGTGGAATTGGTAATGAACCAGATGGTGGTTCATCACTGACTGACCCAGAGGGGTTAAACACAAGAGAGAACATATCATTAAATGCATTTGATATTTCAGACGGTTGAGAGAGGGAACACTGTTATTCACAAGAAATTTGGGAGGTGGAGCATTCTGCATTCTGCTCTTAAAGCCCCACTGCACTCGTTTGGCCAGGAGGGAGTAGACTTCCCTGCATGGTCACTGACAGGTGGTTATCTCATCAAATAAGCTCTCAATTAACATAAGAAAAAGGGCATCATGGGGTACCAATGGTCACCGATTAGGCATTGTTTACTAAATAGAGGGTGCAAGTAGTTATCAGTAGTGCAGTGGAGCTTTAATCATGAAGAATGTAGCCTTATTTACATATGACTCAATATACTGCTACAAAAAGAAGATTGCAGTGGACAAAAGATATTCATGTGCCCCCCTAAAAACAAAGTCCCTTCAAAAAGTGTATTTCTTATCCTTATGTTGAACATGTAAAACGTGAAGTGGACTTTTCTGTGTAATTTTATTTTGCCGCAGCCGTGGGGTTGTATCATGTGTGATTATAGCATCATTGTAAAGAGATAATATACATATACTGAAGGTATTTTAATCCACCTTGTTTAACACATGTCCTCTTTACCAAAGATTCCCATACTGAACTCCCAATCCCTTAGACTGATAGATATTTCAAAATATGGTTTAGATGTTACAAACAATTGCTTTCAATATATGTTTATTACAAGCTAACAAGCAACAATTGTTGTTGTTGTCTTTATTTTGCTTTCCTACTTTCAGCAAAAACGAGAAGGACAACGACGAAAAGGAAATTGATGCAGAAAACTTTGCAGTGCTAGCAAGACTGAAATCAAATCAAAGGAAAGATTACTTAAAGGTATGCCCTCAGTGACAGTTTTTGCATTGTATTTATTATGTGAAATGACTGTAGTTTGTTATATTAAAGCCCATGTGTATTTTTATAACCCATGAACTGTATTTCATTATACATATATTACTTTGTTTTCAGGTACATGGCATTATTTGTTTGTACTAATTCAAGTAATAAGCAAATTCTGATAATAAGCACAATAAGAAAACAACAATATATATTCCTCTGACTTGATTACTTAATCTCTCAGAAAGATAATCTCTTTCAGCAGAAGTGTAAATGCTGACTTCTCTACAGTAACCTCCACCTGTAATTGTTTTCAACAGACTATGTTGCAAATATTTACTGTGAATCATTCTCATGGCGTGTACAATGTGTTCCTTTCACACACTCTACTTAATTAAACAAATTAAAAAAACTTGTTTGAATGTAGGGCTCTGTGTCCGGATCGGTAGGAGCTACAGATAGGCTGATGAAGGAACTAAGGGATATCTACAGATCGGACAGCTTCAAGAAGAAAAAGATGTATTCAGTAGACCTGGTCAATGACAGCTTATATGACTGGAATGTCAAGATATACACGTAAGTTTCAGCTGTTCTACGTCACATGCTCAAGCAACAAATGCTCTACTGTTATTTCCTACACTAATTCAAACTGAATCCCTGGACCAAAAACTATTCACAAATGCACCCTGACCCTAAACCTAAACTAAAACACGATTGTAACCCTGACCCATACCCAGGGCTCAAATTAATTTTTTGCCCACGGGGGCTCTTCCAAAAAAAAAAGAGCCCTCGTGAGCCTTCTCACGGGGGCTCTTTTGATGCTGACGGGGGCTCTTATTCTAATACAAATTTCCATTGAATTGGTACCCGTGAAACTCCTTGGTATTTTACAGACCTGCCAACCAGTACGATTTAGTCGTATTTAGTACGATTTTTAGAAGCAAATACGACAGTACGATTTTCCTTAATAAAATACAATTTTTAATTTTTAATTTTTGATTAGTATTTTGTGTGTGCATCCGCCATTTTCAATGGCAAAATGTCCATTCTGTCCTGTAAAGTATCCTACAAGCATCTCACATCGGCAATTTGGGGATGTTCATTGGTTGATCGAACACACCAGTCATGACGAAATCATGCATATTCAACCAATGATCAATAAAAAAAATTCTTCCTGTATGTAGAAACTGTAAGAGGCATTGATCCGCGTAACAATTCTTGTTTATTTTCAAGAATACAACTTTTGTCAGTAAAATACAACTTTTGGGACTAAAGAATACAGTTTTTGAACTCCAGAGGTTGGCAGGTCTGATTTTATCAATATCATTTATTTAAGTCGGTATTTTCCCTCTTAGAAATTTACTTGTTACATAGCTGTTATTGACTTTTATCCCCCGTGACGACATTTTCTCCATTTCTTCCCGTTCTGCACATAATTTCCTCCTCATTATTCGGAGCAACCTTATTTACATTCTTTATTTATTTTTAGTCTTTACCATATCCTTCCAAAACACAGGGGCGGATCAAGCTTTTTGCTAAGGGTGGGGGGGGGGGCATCCCAAATACGATGTGGAGCATCGTTCACGAGCCGCATAGCGGCGAGGCGATTTTTGTTTTTGCTATTTTGAACCCCCGTAAGTGGTGTTTTCCTGGCATCTACTGACATCTACTAATACTGTGTAGGTCTGGACACATGATAGCATTTTTCTATGCACATCACATTTTCCTTGGCAGCCCAAGGGGGAGGGGGGGGGGGGGGGGAATTAAACCCCCTAAACCGCCTAGATCCGCCCCTGCAACATCTTATGCCTTCTTCTTCTTCTCAATATTGATTTACTGGTCGAGTTACATTATTTGCTGGTCTTTAAGAATCACCAGATTTCAGAGGATTCAAACTTTTCACAACGAAAAACTTCTCCATGTTTCAGTCCTTGCGCGATCATCGATCTCCAGTTCCAGCAGATATTGGGCGTCAGCGTGCACACCGGTAGTACCAGCGCAGTATAGCCACTGTGCTGACGGCCGCACCGCGAGCTTCCGTTGTTTGTATCGGTGATACTCGTAGAGATGGTAGAGAAAGCGCCATCTAAGCTCCATTTCATTGGTTTAAAGGTAAAGACCAGTATTGGAAACGCCCTAATTTCAAAAAATGAAATGGAAGCTCTCATTACCAATCATGTGAAAGAATATGTTTTGACTAATACATGATGATCAAAAATTTGCCGGGAAACCGCCTCCTAATTCATATATTTGGTAAATTTGTTTCTCTCATGGTCTGTGAGAGATATAGGGTAGTTCCATATACATCTTTCTGTGTATAGTGCTTGTAACTTTACGAAGAATGGGCCAAATTTCTTATCATTTTGATGATTCCAGAACCTTGCAGATGCTAGATGCTAGATGATCAACCTTTTCTGATTGATTTCACGTTTCTTTCACAATGCAATCGCATGACCATTACTGGTCTTTACCTTTAAGGTTTGAAAATTGATACTCAATTTTGTGTTAAAGTTATATCAGAAAAGATAATCTTTATTTTATAATTCCACGGGGGCGATTTTTAATTTTGCAATCGCTCCCGTGAGCAACCTGACGGGGGCGATTATGGAGCTCACGGGGGCGAATCGCCCACCGCCCCCGTGTATTTTGAGCGCTGCCCATACCCCTTATTTTTGACCAAACGAATTCTAGAGCAGCCATATATGGCGTGAATGTTTTTTTTTTTTCTCCAAACATTTAAGCTATTCTTTGTCATATTTGAATATGAGGGCATTTGAAGAGTTGGTTATTGTTGGTTATTGGTGGTTATTTTACCGGGCTGCTAAGAAAGCATTAATGCTTGTAAGTAAGCAACCAGACGGCCGACAGCTTTAGGTCCTCTCCAAGGGAGCTGGTAATAAGGATTAATGCCTTACCAAAGGGCACTAGCGCATCGCTTTGGTTTCGAACCTGGGTCACTAGATTACGAGACCACTGCTCTACCAACTGAGCTATGGCGCCTCCTCCGAGTAATCTTTTTCAGGGGACATTTCTTCTCCGATTAAGAATGAGAAAGCTCAGATATTGTTCACCTATGCCAAATTAGCAGAACTCAACCTTTTCTTTTTAACTTCCCTTTCACAGAGTTGATTCGGACAGTCCACTCCATGCAGACCTTTGTCAACTAAAGGAGAAAGAAGGCAAGGATCATATACTCCTCAATATGACCTTCAAGGTAAGAATCACAATTATCCGTCACGATCGATAGATACAGAAAACTTCCATTGGTTGAGGTGATAGTAACATGGTATTCAAAAACAAATAATTAGTAGGCAAGCTTTTATCCACACATGTAGTATTTCTTAGGCTTTGTTATTCAAGAGTGACTCAAAGATAGTTTATTTCCCAGAGAACAGATGACGTAGTTTTCTTAAAATGACTTTTTCTCTATTTTTGAGAAGAGAGATAGATATATTACTTATCCTGATAAATCTATAAATGTTTGTGCATCAATGGTTAATAGCTGTACAGTGATCAGGTATCTCTGCAAACACCAATGAAAAGTTGCTATTTGAAATTAGTTTTGGCAATTCATACAATTTTAATGAAATAGAGATGACATAATTTTCTGAACTGCACCCATGTGGCCAGAGCGATGCCACCTGTAAGTGTATTTGAGTTAGCAACCCAAAAGTTAGAGCGCCATCTTGGGTGACAGACTTTCATAGACAGAGTTTCACTGTAACTGCAGCCAATCAAAAACAACAAGTTGGCAAAGCTTTTATGGGAGTGTTTCTTTTATTCTTGTTTAGCTATCTTTATGAGCCAAGCTTCATTTCTTTGAACTCTGTGAAAACTTCTTGCATACTGTTAGTCAATAAGTTGTCTGCAGCTATGAAGATGTTGCAGATATTCATCAACTTGTCTTAAACATCAAATCTTCCATGTTTGTCTTTGAAACTCTGTCTATGAAAGTCTGTTGCCCAAGATGGCGCTCTAACCATTTGGGTTGCTAACTCAGATACACTTACACCACCTGTTTGCACCCGTGTGGGATGTGACATTGACCACATTGTGTCATGCTTTGTGCATTTGTTGTTTGGGAGGAATGAATGAAAAGATGTCCTTTCTAAATTTTGAATCATTGTTTCACAAGTCATTAACATGTAAAACGACATGTTCATGAGAATTGTGATTGGTCAAGATACTGGATAGTGTCATGCCATATAATAATAAAATTTGATTGAATCAAAACCTGAAATATTGGCATTTCATGAAGCGCTTAGAGACATTTGTATTAAGCACTATATAAAAGCTAAATATTATTATTATTATTTATCATCTATCCAACCTAGTTTCTTGATTCATGGTACATGTATGTCTTGTGTTCTCTCTCTCTCATTTCCTCTACTTTTCTTTCCATCTCTCTCTGTCTAGGAGCACTACCCCTACGACCCTCCGTTCGTGCGGGTGGTTTGGCCCATCCTAACAGGTGGATACGTTTTAGGGGGTGGTGCAATATGTATGGAGCTGCTTACTAAGCAGGGTTGGAGCAGTGCCTATACCATTGAGGCTGTCATCCTTCAGATTGCTGCTACGCTAGTCAAAGGCAAGGCCAGGATACAATTTGGGGCCGGCAAGGTGAGGAAATGATGATATTGATGGTAATCATGATGATTATGATAGTGATGATGATGATGATGATGATGATGATGATGATGATGATGATGATGATGATGGTGATGATGTTGATGACGATGATGACGACGATGATGACGATGGTGATGGTGATGGTGATGATTATGATGATAATACCAACAATAACAAAAACAAGCTTTAGTTTATGAAGTACCTTTCCAGTTACAAGTAACCAAACCAAAGCATGTACAGTATTATTATCTCCTTTCTCTGAATTCAATACTACTATACAGTATAGTGCATAATGTCCACTTCTCTAAGAGTATTCCAGTCAGTTGCCATTTTAGGAGATGGGCCATAGTTGATCATAAAGTGAAATTCACTAATCTTGTCTCAATGAAATTATACTGATGATTCAAATGGTCATTAGAAGGAGATTTTGTTATGATACATATAACAAGTGTGATTTTTTTTCATTCTTATGAGTCATTTGGACTTAAAACTCTGGAAATACCCATCTTTGTGCCTTAAATTTTGTTTGCTATGAAATGGTAATGTAGTCTTCATAGTCTGCATCCACAGACTTTTGGATTTCCCAAAAATATATAGTTGGTAAAGAGAGCAGTAGCTTGTATCAGAGAGTTTATTTAGGGTATACCAAATACATGTACATGTATGTGAAATCTTACTCAACGTATCAACCTTAAACATCTCTTTGCATAAAGTAGTGCTATAAATCTTACACAAACGTTTGTGAATGTTGTTCAACGATATTTGCTATTGTACTTTTCAATTGTATTCCAATGGCAATTTAGTTGTAAGACTGTGACGAAGGAATTAGTTCAATAAAACCTTTCTATATTCTATATTATTACCCGTATCAGACATCTGAGCTGGTCATTTACAAAACCGTATTGCCCTAGTTTTCACTAGCAGTGGGAACGGAGGGGTATATTCTTTGTATTTTCATTGGTCTCCCTGCGCGTATTGACTTTGCGTGTAGAGACGAGTGAAAATATACCTTGGTATTTCCACGGTCTCGCATTTTCATTGCGCATCTATTAATATTATGCGTACGAGAACCTGCGCACTTTGCGCGCACTCTATTGTGACGTAATAATCACACCAAATACACACTGTTTGTAGTGTATCGAAAATTGTGTCAAGCACTGGATGCACAGTGTTGGTTTGACAAAGTTTGTTCAGTTCTTGAGATTGTCATGGTGGATGTCTGTATTTGCTCTAGATGTCCGATTTGGATAACAATAAAAATATTGACTGGCTTTACTTTCGGGGGATATCAGAAATATTGACCGCGCTAAGACCATATTGCCCTCGTCTTTCGACTCGGGGCAATATGATCTGAGCTTGGTCAATATTTCTGATATACCCCTCAAGGCCAGTCAATATTATATAATTATTAGAAATTTAGCAATGAAATTGTGGAATCTTGTGCAGTATCCTTCTTAGAGAAACAATGGCACTTTATTTCATCTTTGCTCAGTTAATGCAAATTGTAAAAGTCCCATGCACACATTTTTGTTAAATAAAAAAGTGCCAAATATTAACAGTCAGCCCCAAGAAGAAGGAAACAGTGCAGTAGACAGAGTTTAGTCATGATTGTTATTGTGAAATTTGATTCTTTACAGTCATTATCACATGAATATATCTGCTTCACTTGTATTTTTTTTCTCTCGGCAGAGTCAATATAGTCTTGTGAGGGCACAGCAGTCTTTCAGGTCACTAGTCCAAATTCATGAAAAGAATGGTGAGATGTAACTCCTCTACGATTTGGTATTTCACGATTGAATTCCATCGTATATAGGATGGTACCTAATGTACATGATAATGATAATATTAGTAGTCTGGATTTACATAGCGCTTAATATGGAATACCGTCTCTAAATGCATCATTCATTCATGAACATTGTGTGTAAAGGAATCCGATGACCGGGGTAATAATGTCTGTAAAGCGCTCAAAGATGGTATTTCATATTAAGCGCTTTACAGATATTATTACCCTGGTCATCAAATTCCTTCATGCACAATTTTCACCTTCTTCACTCCCAAGGTGAGAATTCGTACCATATAATCACTGTGAGGGCATGAGGCAATTACTAATACAAAGGCTTTCAACATCCTACCAAATCCCTATTTCTCACCTTGGTATGGAGTGGGAAATGTAGATTAATGCCTAGCCAAAGTACATTAGTGCTTTGTCAGGGATCGAACCCACAACCCACAAGTGCTCAAATCGCTCGACTACAACACCTCTACATGTGTGGCCTGGCTAACCCTAGCCCTAAAGTGAACCTAAAACCCAATCACATCTGAAGTCATAACCCTATATCTTTGAGAAATTAAAGATTGAATAACATGTCCCCCAGAGCAAGCATCCGTTTACCTTTTAATGGTGGGATTAATCATCAGTAAACCTTAGCTTGTGATCAAAAACATAGAAATTAGCTATTGCCATCCCTTTTTTTTTCTTTCTCTCTCCCCCCCCCCCTCTCTCTCTTTCTCTGTCTCTCTGTCTGTCTCTTTTTTCTTCTCCCCCCTCTCTCTTTTTATCTGTCAGTCTGTCTTTTTATCTGTCAGTCTGTCTCTCTTTGTCTATCTCTCTGTTTTGTGCATCTATGTTAATATCTACTGGTATATCTCTCAACTCAATTCTAACTAGATGGAACTTCGACTGCGCGCAGTCGAAATGTTGCCTCCGTCATAGAGCAATTTTACAAACCAAAACAGAAGAAATTGTTCAAATTCAAGTTCAATTGTAATCCATTAACGGGTTCTCAGAATATCGTGATTACAAGCAATTTCTCATATACATGTACATCTATGACCCTTTGATCTTTGACCACATGACCCTAACATCTACTCAGTTCATTGGCTCTGCAAGATGTCCCGAGTTAAATAGTAATCCATCTGTCAGTTCTAATGAGAATGCGTTCACAAGCTATTTTTGCATACATAATGAGCCCATGACCTTTGACCTTTGACCTTTGACGTCATGACCCAAGAATCTACTCAGTTCATTGGCTCTGCAAGATACATACATGATCTAAGTTTGGGAGGAATCCATCAATCTGTTCCAATGATAATGCGATCACAAGCTATTTTTGCATGCATAATGAGCCGCATGACCTTTGACCTTGACCTCATGACCCCAAAATTTAATCAGTTCATCGGCTCTGCAAGTAACATACATGACCTAAGTTTGGCAGGAATCCATCAATCGGTTCTTGAGATAACGCGATCACAAGCTGTTTCAGCATACATAATGAGCCCTATGACCTTTGACCTCGTGACCCCAAAATCTAATCAGTTCATCGTCTCTGCAAGATACATACATGACCTGAGTTTGGCAGGAATCCATCAATCGGTTCTTCAGATAACGCGATCACGAGCTGTTTTTGCATACATAATGAGCCCTATGACCTTTGACCTTTGACCTCATGACCCCAAAATCTAATCAGTTCATCGTCTCTGCAAGATACATACATGACCTAAGTTTGGCAGGAATCCATCAATCGGTTCTTCAGATAACGCGATCACGAGCTGTTTTTGCATACATAATGAGCCCTGTGACCTTTGACCTTTGACCTCGTGACCCCAAAATCTAATCAGTTCATCGGCTCTGCAAGATACATACATGACCAAAGTTTGGCAGGAATCCATCAATCGGTTCCTCAGATAACGCGATCACGAGAACGGGACGTACGGACGGACGGACGGACGGACAACCCGAAAACATAATGCCTCCGGCTACTTCGTAACGGAGGCATAAAAACACTGTTGTAGAAGCCTTGAAACCTCAAGGTGTCATAATCATTGCTTAGTGTTTTATTCTATGCAATATAGGTACATTATTCATGCAATATTCTCTATAAAAAAATCATATAATTTTTTTCTTCACTCCATTAGGCTGGTTCACACCACCCAAGGAGGATGGCTAGGAGACTGTCATGTTTTCCAATGCAAAGCAGTTTATCTACAAAGACAAATTGAACTTTTCCCAGATTCTTGGACTTACGTGAACTGCCTTTTCTGGCAGGTGGTGATTGTGATTGATAAACTACGAACATGGATATTATGGATATTACATTGCTAGTGAAATAAATCAGTCTTTTGTAAAGATTCATCATCATCATCATCATCATCATCATCATCTCGTGGAAAACGTTTGCGTGGAGCGCTTCCAGCGAAAAAACAATTGCCAATCCTGGAGGCAACGTAGAGTGCAGTCTGTCTGTCCCTGTACGGTATGCAGCGTTTATGTTTCATTTCCAGCAGAACTCAAGGCCGATTGAGATTAAAATGTAATTATGCCAGCTCTGAGCGGAGTGCCACATTATGACGGTAAACAACGATTTGTAAACTATTATTTTTGTAATGTCAGCAAGGTCATCAGCTGGTGTTTTGGACTTGAACCAAGTGGGAAAGATGGATGTGATCATGTTATTCATGCATTTGGATAAGTCCTTGGATTGGTAGAGCTACACTGAGTTACAACCGACTTTTCCAAGTCGCTCTGCGGACTTCTACCGTTTTTATCCCGGTTTTAATTTTGTACAAGGATTGCGTTCATGTTTGGAAGAATATTATGGATTATACGCTCAATCGCACGTCATAGCCTTCCTACATTGTGTATTTAATCATGGTTCTACAATGTGTATGGAAATCCTTCAAATTTCTCAGAGGATTATCGTATAAAATGCATCTCATATTTGATCCATTGCTAATGAGGTTAATTGCTATGTAAAAGCAATAGTTAATGTGAGGATCTTAATATTTACTAATTCTTTTTCTCACACAAGAAGAAAATTGTGTTTTGTATGGGATTCCTACATACAACAGTAATACTTCAGATGGAAGGATATTCATTATCCAATAGTTCAGAAGTCTGCACGTAGTTAAAAATTTGGGCAAAGCAGAAAGTGTTCAAAGTTACGTCTAATGCAGTATTTTCTGCAGATAGAGAAGCCAACTCTGATATCAAAGGTCATCTTTATCTAATGGACCATGAGACAGAGGTTCTCCAGCTGTCTTCAGCTGTTCTAGTTAGCTGATCATATGACATTCCTGCCCACTGTGTGATGTTATTAGTCCACGGTCAGCCCCTCTTTCTTCTTCCATCAGTTCCTCCTTGCAAGATAGTCTTTGCCAAGTTATTCTCCCATCAAGGAACATGCCCAAACCACTGCAACTGTCTTTAAACAAATTGTGATGAAGTGATTGTGTACCCCCATATAGCTCCCCATCATCTCTCTCACTTTCTTCTTGGACGTATGCAAAGTGTAGTGGATACTCATGCAATTCATCTCAAAAGCATTGATTTGCTTTTCCATCTCTGCATTCAGTGTCCATGTTTCACAGCTATAAAGAGAGACTGATGTTACCAGTGCTCTCAACAGGTAATGGGCTCCAATAAATCAAATGGGCGTGGCACAACCAGCAAGGAACCTATCCAGTATGTTCCTGTCGTTTCCCTTTGCCCCCATACAGTGTTTCCTCCCTTATGTTTATCCAGAAAGAAAAAAATAGCATGAATTCTTTGAAATGGTTCTTTCTTCTGTATATTTGTACTAGATGTTAGGAATATCTAATGGGCCATAAGTTAAAAATATACTTAAAGAATATGATTTCTCTTAAAAATGGGGCAATGCGGTTACTCTATGTAAGCGTCGTCTAAGTGCAGCTCAAACTCCTTGAGTGTTAAAATGAAACTTGAAGAGTAGCACATTTATATGTATGTATAGTTTGTATTGACAAAGCAGATTGAGTGAAATGGCCATTGTATGATGAGAGGGATCCTATGTCTGCAACCCTAAAGATTATACATGAAATGAAGAGGATTTATTTTGTAATTGCTGATTGATTACTTTCATCATATTCCAAATTGCGGAATTGCCCAAGAGTAAGTGTGTCAAAATATAAGCAAGAACAAAGCAATCTTCACTAAAATAGATAGCCATGTCCTTTTAACATTCAAAAACTTGAATGCTATGTCTGTGAACACATCCATTTTATAAGCTTTTTAGGATTTTAAGCATGGAAGATGACATTTTAAGGTTTTTCAATGATATTAATGAAATCTGACTTTTTGTTATTTTTATTATTATTATTATTATTTTTTTTTTTTTTGGGGGGGGGGGAGGGGCCTCATTTTTTAAAAGCTGATATATACATCTCTGTAGTAAAGACTGTAAGTTGTGTGTCTTGACCTGTTATTCATGTACTTAGATGCATTTGCAGACAAAGGCAAATGATTTACATAAGACCTTCAGTCATACTTGAAATATGGTTTAATAAAGAGCGATGTTGACTTATGTTATGTACAATAAGGTGGAAGCAACAATGACAAGTACGACATCACGTTCATCTATTTTTCCATATTTATATGAATGTGTTGTTTGACGGATACATGTATGATGTTTGTATTTGTGCATGTACGTGTATTTGAATGTGAACAGCATTGCCAGATGACAGATTATCTGCTTCCTAAGTAGTTGCTCTTTTTAGCTAACAAAAAAGAGAGGTTACTTCGTCTTGTAGTATGCAGGTCTCGTGCAGTCTGATATACTGGGGTGAATTTTATTTTTTGGGAGGAATACAAAATAGGAGTCATCTTGAAAGTATATATTTAAGGTACATTTTTAGTTTACCAATCAAAATCAGTCCTTTGCAACATGATAACCAACAAAATTTTGCTCCAAAATACAAATATGAAGAAACATATGTCTTTGTATTGTCAGCAAGTTCCAAGCTATGTTTTGCATGTGCATTTGCCCAATGCATGTCAATGTAAAAGGAATATAATTATTTAAGTTGAAGCCATCGGGAAGACATCAAAACATTAAATAGCTTTGCACAATTGAATTACTAGCTTTAATTCATTTCTGCAGCGATAGATTTCTGCCAAGGAAGATGGGAGTAAGACAGAGAATAATTAATGTGAAAGGAATTTGTAATCTTGTAGTTTTTATATGTGTAGAAGATCAAGGAGAAAAAGACATGTGGGTCAAGTTTAGAAAAAGCACATACTCCTTTCTGTTACCTTCTTAACTCTATTCCACACCACTTAAAATCAAACAGAAAAAGAATACCTTATTACATAATGACAAATCTTTCCCACAAATTCACCTGACAGCTGTTTCAATAGTCCTTTGCTCGCCCTTTTGAAATGAGTGTACTTTACAATGATATACATGTATATATTACACCACCCACACATAAGTTCAATAGGCGATACGATGTACTTTTGAAATCACCGTGACATGATTTCTTTGAAGCCTTGGTGACCTTGTTGTTGGTATTGTCTGTTGTAGGGCTTGATGGGTCATTCACCTAACAATGCAGATTGTGTGTTAAATATGGTACTCCACTAGAGATGCTATACTGTCCTCTAGCAAATTTTTTGATGGCGTTATCCTTCCCATATTCTATCATATCCTAGATTATACCCTTGCTTTTTGAATGACCTTCTGATGTGGTATTTTGGCTCCGATTGGCAATCAAAATATGTGCAACCACGCTTTTAGATGTACGCTTTTAAATGTGAAAGTTCTTGGCAAGGAATAAATTCAAGAACACAAAAAACGATTTTTGATGGCAGGTTATCTTGTGCATATAAATGACTAATGAAAATTCCTTCACATAGAATATTTGTTCATAAAATATGAGACCTACAGTAGTTACAGCTCTGAAGTTGTTGATCAATTCCATCACAAACATGGCTTGGTCTTGGGTATTTGTGTATACATAAGTGAGTGATTACCAAATCAAGCTGGTTCAGTCTTTCTCTCAAGCACCACTTGCAAGGCTCGTTCAGTTTGGACGCAGTAAATTGCCAAAAAAAAAAAAAGAACTGCACATTTTTGGTTACTGGTACATTTATATAAATGGCAGCTGCAAGCAAGAAAGGTCCTGTTTGTATTTACCAAGCTCTGTCTTATAAGATACAGAAATTTGGAGGCTTTAGAGGAACAGATATGAAGTAATTTAGATTAATGGTTATGAGGCAAACTGTAGTATGCTGACAATCAACCAATCCCAATACTGAATGTTCAAGAATATAATGGAATCATAAATGCTACACGATTTTGGTGGAAAAGGTTTACTAGCCAAATAGAGATCGATAGAAAAATCAAGTCTATTGTCCTGATCCACTTTTATAGAATGTGCTTAAACACTTTGTTCAAATGTCATGGAAGTTGTTTTTAAGTAAGTTGATGTTGTGTTGAAATATTTCCCTGGTCTAAGCAACCCATTTATTGCATGATAAGGAAATTCCTTTAGGTCATTTTTAAAAACTAAATTCCTTAACCATGACGAAAGATTACTGTTATTCATGCTCTTCGATGTTTTCTGACAATGGGCATAATAATGAATCGCTCGTTAATGTTTCCCATTCCTGCTCCGTTAGTAAGGTTTTGTGCAATATAAAGGCTAACATTCTGTAAGCATTTACAATTTTTCTTGTTTATCCTAAGATTATTGAAGGGTTTTGCATTCATGATTACATAGGATCTTTAACTTGCATTCGTGTAGCTTTGGCTTCATTATATAATTTTTTTCTTCTATATGACATGTTTGCAATCAACTTAATGAAATCTAATCTTCACGACTTAAAGGTTCTCCTGCCCATACATAAGTAGTATTACCTTTGAACTACCGTAATATTCACCTTTCTTACAGATATGTTGTAGTTGAAGAAAGAAACCCATAAGAGGTAATATTCTGCATTGTCATAATCATATTCAAGTGTCACTAAAGTGTAAAACTATTTCTAATACCTCATTGTGTAGATATGAAAACAAATGATGTCATGCACATTAGTGCAGTGTGAGTCGATGAAAAGTAAACCTCATCTTGGGAATAGGCAAGCCTTTTGTGGAAATGGTCCATGTTCCATCATCCTATAATGAAACTTATTTCCCCCTCCAAAGTATACGTGTAGTGGTTTGAATTAAATCCAATTTGAATTGAATATGGGCCCCACTCTGTTTCTTAGCCATAACTGTCTGTAAGTTCTCTAGGATTTCATGGTTAATCCTGTAGTATTACCAGCATTTGATTTAAATGTTTATTCCAGAAAAAAATATTGTTCCCCTATTATTATTATATGATTATATTGAAAGAACATCGTGTTACAAACGAATCGTGTTCAATTGACAATGAGCTTGTTATGAAATATATTTATAACCCATCTTATCGCGTTGCGTAACTTTTCTTCTCTATAATTATGATTGTTAAATGAAGAGTTTTTTTAAATAGTTTCTCTTGTAGCCATCTCAATTTCCTTGTTTTGGGATTGTTTATTAATATTGCAACGCTTGGCTATTAGTCAAAATACAGGCGTATCCTGGATGAATGTATGATCAAATGTTAATATATTGTATTTGAAAGGGGAAAGCAAGTGCTTTATAGGCCGGTTTGGAAAGGGGACTGATTTATTTTCTTCCGTTGTATATGGTATGTTACTCCTGTAGAAAAACCATGAAAATATAAAGGAAGCAATATTTATGATGTGTTTCCTAACTGTTTAATCAATCCAGTCACAAACAGGACAACCCATACAGGACAATCTATTTGCGTAGGAGAGTTACACGTCGGCAAAAAGTAATACCTACCGGGAGAATACATGTTTTCATTCATTTCGAGGTCATGCCATTCGTAAAATGTTCCAAAATAAAAATGGTGATCATTTGGGTTTTTGCTTTTGTGTTGTAGATATATGCAATCACGTTCAATTTTGTGCAGAGCAACTGGTTTCAGGTTACCGCGGTAGTTTTGTCATCGTCTGCGAAGACGCTCATGAGAGTATACATCGGTCAAACCCAATCATGTCCCATAGTATTTTTTCATGATCTTTCTTGAATTCATTTCATAAATTCTTATTATTTTCTACTCTTCTTTGGGGAGAAGTATGTTTGAGGTACGTTCAACGGTTCAAATAAGTGTCTTTTTGATGCATTATGATAGAGATGACAACAATGTAGTAGTGATTGAATGATGACAAGGAGTGAATAAAGACAGTCCACATGGCGCCTCAATGTTGTCATGTGTATTTATGAAATTATCTCTCGTCTGTTTGAGTATGTCCATTCTTTCGTATTATGTGGCCCTTTCGACAACTACCCCTGGGCAACTATCCTAGGGGGTAGTTGCCTGGGGGCTAGTTGTCCGAGGGGGTAGTAGTCCGGGGGGTGGTCGTCCTAAAGGGTAGTTGTCCTAGGGGGTGGTAGTCCAAGGGGGTAGTTGTCCTGGGGGGGGGGGGTGGTCGTCATAGAGGGTAGTAGTCCTAGGGGGTAGTTGACTGGGGGTGGTTATCCGGGGGTGGATGTCCAGAGGTTAGGTGTCCGGATACGCTTTCGACTACGTCGAATACCAAACTAACTTGTCATTGATGTTTAAAGTATAAATTACGATGGCGTAATGTAGTTCACTGGCTTCATAGGGCGGGTGTGACCGCACCGTTTGTCCTACCAGTTTCGTTTGTCCGTCGGACATAATATGCGAGTTTTCTGCTGGCACGGATCGTCCGAGGGACGATCCGTGCGGTTTGCTATCCGCGCAGTCTGTCCCCTCCCCCCCCCCATTGTTTTACGTGTATATTTGATAAAAGGAAGAAACTCGGCAAATCGATGTATTTAGACTCATTGTAAATCATGTGGTTGGCATTTTTTTCTAGAAATTACATAATAATAACTCTCTACAATTTTTTAAAGCAAATGGGGCAGTCCTTTTGAAAGTAGAAGTGAACATTTTCTTTAAAACCTTTATTCTATGAAGGCATACTCGTGATATCGGCCCCACAATTACTGTTGTAATCGATTGTACGTGGCTTCGTACTTACGGTCAGATGAGCATATTTTAATACCATATTCATGACACTGGCAGGTCACTAATTGGCGTATGGTCCAAGGGGCGGAGCCCCCGGAAGCGCAGGGGTTTTAGGCATTACAATTAAGGTCAGATTAGTACTCAGGGGCCAGCCTTAGGGCCCAAGATGGGGTCCAGGGGGCAGAGCTCCCGGAATTAGCTCAGGGGTATGGGCATTTAATTACGGTTACATGAGCATACTTTCTTTTCTAT